TCTAGACATCCCGAAGTGGAAATGAGGAGTCTTTTTTTGGAAAAGAGGGAGTATCTGTTTCGTAAGTGCATGAAAATCTTATTGATTAAGATTTATTCCCTGGAAAAAATTAAGATTTGTTAAGTAAACATTATTTAAAATCAGAAAAAATATGTCAAATTCAAGCAGTCGACAATTCGATATTTAGCCATATACTTTGACATAAGAAATAAAGTTTACCTACGGTTGTGCCAAGCAGAATAGTTGCTAAAATTATTGCATATCATGTCTGTTGTATATTCTAGCTCATCCTTATCTGAAATGTTCTTCAATGAAGTAATAAACCTGAAAGAAATATCAATGGAAATATCACAGCATGCCACAGCCTCTCAATTACATCAATAAAAGTTTCCAGAGATTTGACCTCCTGTAATTCCAAGCATGGAAATTCCGAGAATCTGCTTTCTGGAACTTATCGAGCAGCTGTAACTCCCTGTCTGTGGAAGAATGCCCTTTGCTTAGAACCCACTTACGGTGATACCATGCTCCATAAGACTTGTAATTGTTCCTCAACGCATTCTCCACCTAATTAAATCTGTTCATTATTTAAATCGAAAACAAACAGAACAAGCATAACCTAGCATGCTTTCCCCACCAAGCCACGAGATTTGATCATAGTTTGTAAGGCGGTAAGGCGAGGCAAGGCGCCAATATACCTTCATACTGCCTAGGCGACTAGGCGGACGCCTAGGCGACAACATACAACAAAATTATAAATAATAAGGCACAACATATGAAATAAAAGTCCACACACAATCTGAAAAAGAAAGAAGGGTTCAATTCAAAACAAAAACACAATTCAAAACAAGTTCATCTCCATCCCTCTGGTTTAATGAACCAAACATGCATGTCTAAATATTATCATTGAATAGGTCATTCAAATGGATATCATTATCTGTGTCAGTGTGTCCATAGATTCATCCTGGACAGTAGATAAATCAACACCATAGTCATCCTCAATTTGCTCATCATCATTTGGAAATGGTTCAACTTCAGTCTCTGGGCTGCACTAAAAGGATGGGCTGAACTCAAAAAAAAAAGGCTGCACTAAAAAAAAATTGGGCTTTTCATAATTTTGAAGTGACCCAAGGCGTCTAGGCGAGAAAGGCGACATAAGGCGAGGTAAGGCGACGCCTAGGCGAGCGCCTGACCGCCTGAGGGTTTTCTGGGCGAGGCGAGCAACACATAACGCCTTAGCGCCTAGGCGACGCCTTAACAACTATGGATTTGATACATGCAATGTACTTACAAGTGGACTTGCAAGCGTCAACTAACACAAACCAATCGCATCTATTACCCAGTAATATTTACTGGTCTTAGAGATGAAATGCCTCCTACACCAATATGGCAATATCTAACTAAACCAGTGACAATTATTAAAACACTAGTCTACTCAGACCAACTTCAAAATCATAGCATTCATTGGCCATCTTCTCATCAAAGTTATAAAGCTAAAAGACTAATGAAATCTACTCTAGCATAAATTTCAAGAAAAGATGCCACTTTATAAGATGATTAGCATAAACATACTAGTCTGAGTTCTTCATCAAGAATGGATTTTATAGAATCCTCATTGTTCTCAGACTCGGATTGATTAAGACGGTGATGTACGGCAAGCTTTCGGTAATTCCAAGCTGTGTAATGTTCCGGATTGAGCTCAAGCAGCTTCGTGCTAACTTCGAGCGCTTCTTTATCATAACTGTAAAAGTAAACAAAATAAATACAAAAACGTTAAACCTAGGGTCCCCATTTCATGAGATGAAAACTCGAAGTTTTCTATAGATTATAGTTTTACATAAATGAGGAAATAAGCCCTTCATGATATACATTTTATTGTGATGAAAGTGGTGGAACTGATTTTGGAGAGACCGAAGTTTAGCTGATTTACTCGCCAAAGCTTCTTGTTTGTCTTGGCTTAGAGCTCCTCGTGGTATTCCATGCATTTTTCACACAAATCAGGTCAGGGATCGCAGAAGAAGATGATTCAGGCTGGCCGCTGTGGCAGATGCAGAATTAAAAATCATCTATGGCCAAATTTTCATTGTTACTCTTTATTATTTTTAGTAATCAAGTAAAGTATATAGAGTAAGTGTATGATGGAGAAGCATAATCAAACACAACAAATCACAAAGCATTTTGATTTATAAGTTAAAACACTCCCAAGTCCAATAAATTTCATTTTTAATAATCTGGGATAATCAAGAAACTCCAATTTCAATTTCCTATCTAGGATATTAGCCATCATTCATCAATAATTCAAACGGATAGATTAAGGAGTTACCAAACCAATTCACACAACTCCAACTTCAATTTCATCTCATGAGCGAATAAAATTTGCTGTTTTAGCATATAATGAGCATAAAAACTTGACATATTTAACTGTTTTTTTTTAAATTGAACAAACATACTGATTTTCAACAACTAAAATTTGAAGAAAAAGTATATGAAATTCACCAAAAAAAACTGTTCTTCGTAGTCCATAAAATCCCAGAATCATACCTTTGAGATTTTCCAGTTGAGATGTCACTTGACCTACAGGTTGATTATTTGGAGAGAAGTCTTCTCCCTTTGTTGATTGTCGATGGTGAATAGGAGAGCGGCTGAATTTGCGTTAAGTTTCAAGGGAGAGGAGCCATTGGGGGATTTGGGGCCATTTTACCTTTTGATCTGAATCTGATTTGAAATAATCTATTTTCTACTGAAGAATCTATCTTGATCTGAATGAATAAGTTCTAGTTCGGTTTGAAAATTGCATAACTCAGTGTCATTTAAATCGATCTAACGGTTTATGATCTTTATTTTTTCCTGATATTCTAAGTAATATTTATTATTTAAATGTATAAATCAATACGAAGTATTACGAATAAACAAACTGAATATGTAGCTTTTTTTATTTTTAATATCTAAAATTTCAATATTAGAGCAAAACACCATATTTATGGATGTATAGTTTTAGTGACATAATTAGAAGAGTTGGGTTGCGAATGAAGCAAAACTTATAGAGATTAACCATGAAAACATATTTTATATATATATTTGTTCTATGTATTTTCCTATGAGTTTCATAGCATTTAGACAAAAGTACTATTAGTCTCACACACACACACATATATATGTATGTATGTATGTATGTATGTATATATATATGTATGTATGTATTGTATGTATCATTTCGCAAATATATTACATGAATAAAATTTAAGTTTGGCGACCAACTATTAATTGACATATTCCATATCATTATCAAATGTCTCATTTGTCTAAGTAACTTTTTCACACACTTATTATATGAATTAAAAGTTAAAATTACTTGGCGGTCAACTATGAGTTGACCTAATAGGAACTCTCTTAAAATGAGAATTCCCAAAATAGACAAAGAGAACCCACCCAATAAGTCCTATAATAAGGTGGCCTACATCCATCGACTTAAGCCAAAAGAACCAACTTTTTAACAATACACACCGGAACCCTTTATAAAGCCTTGGAGCTCATTCCTATCTAAACCAAACAAGTGAAGTAACTTCGTAATTTATCCATTATTATATTAATGGGAAAAATGATGAAAAAAATTAACAACCGCAATCTTACAAAGCTTTAGTTTCAAAGCATAAAACAATATTGCTAATTAACTACTCTACTAAGATTATACGTTAAATTTTCGGAAGAAAAACCTAAGATTTTTAAAGTCCCATAATAATCCAATGATGTTTCCTATCTTCAAACTTCTTCTCTTCACAAAGTGTAATCGCCAATTGCTAGTGAGCACATAGCTTCCACTGCGCCACTGCTTGAAAACGAACGTGTACTCTGAGTCGATGTCCACGTCACGCATCTTCACCTTCAACCCTTTAATGCTATGACATTCTTTACATTGCTCTTGGCTGATGGAAGGGAGCACATATTTATTCACAATCTCCTCTTTTGACACCAACAACCTTGACGAAGTATTCACATCACTCGCGGTTAGCCTCTTCCTCACCCATCCTGACTTGAATCTTTCCGGCACTTGCTGACCTACCAAATTGATGGTCGAATCTAAAATTTTCTTATCATGATTATCTGCATTGTTATTATTGTCGTCACAGAGTAATGGGTTCGTCGTTCGTCTTTGGGAAGAGATCAAGTAGTTTGGGAGAGGAGTTTGAAGGTGGGAGGCACCGCAGTGCCGCGAAGGTGAACTCTTCCGGACATTGGAAAATTTGTTTTCCCAGAGTTGGGGATGAAGAGAGGCTAAGGCCGGTTGAAACATGTTGTTCTACAGCCGTGGAAGGCGTTGATGGCTCTTGAAGAACTAAGGGTGTAGGGCATAAGAAAGTAAACATGGTTGTAATTCACTAATTTGTAATCAGAGTAATAAAAAATCTTACAGTGATGTTATTTATAGATGAGAGTTGAAAAAATAAAGTCCTAGTTCCAAATGGGATTAGGAGAAACTATATGTCTTGATTTAGAAACAAAATGCCTCTAAAAGTAATTATTGCTCAAAATTAATAGTACGCACTTTTGTTTAAATCCGTCCTGTGAGGGGTGAGGTTGACGAACACAATTCTTTTATGGCGAGGAGCCTAGTCCTATACTAGTTTGGATTACCCATCAATTTTTTGAAGTCCCTCTATTTGTGGGGCTCCCCAATTTTACAACTAAAAGTTTTTTTTTCTACGTGTACTTAGAGTTTTATATTCTCTTATCACAAAATAAATAAATATATTGCATTATTATAAATTAATTGAATTGAGAGTTAAAACTCTATGAAACTTATTTGGATGAAATTAAATTTTCCAATTCCAATTCATTTTTGGCACACTATCAATTCCAAATCCACACATTTTTGTGCTACCAAATAATAGAATTAAAATTGTTGTCCCCAAATCTCAACAAAACGTAATGCCCATCCACGCAAATCTCAACACCCTTCACCTCACATAGTTACATTACAAATTTACAATCAATACGTCTTTCTAAACAATGCAATAAGTATGTTTAGGGGCTTGAACAATTACATGTCTAGAGTTATCACATGAATGAATAGATTTACACAAATACTCCCAATCATCATCAACTTCAGCAGTATAACAGTTACATGCAAAAATTACTGCACCAGGTTTTTCGATCAAAATGATTATGATAAATACTGAGGGTTTCTCTTACACAGTGCAGGGCAGGGACTCGACAAGATTCGCCTGCCCGAGCCCAAGACGCGAACCTTCACCTCCTACCTCATTACCTGGTGGCAAAACTGTGGCACCCGATTCAGGATTTGCTCCACTAGTGCTATAATGATTTTCACTGCCCTCATTGGGAAGGAGGTGTTTCTGTCTTTTGCCGCGGTGTCTCTTCCTCTTGAGCCACCCAGTGCCGCAAGACTTCTTCCCATTAGCCTTGAAAGACGCGGCGGTCTCATGGTGGCTGGTCCCCGTGGGGTCCACGCCCTGTTTCTTCATCGGGACCACGGTGTAATTAGAAGGGGAGTGGTCTGTGGTGGGCCCCACACTGCTGGGCTTGGAAGGATCAGACTCGATGGCCAGCAGGGCGGTCCGGGCAGCTTTCAGCTCTGCTGTTTTCTTGGACTTTGATGCTCCTCCAATGTACTTGACCCCCCCAATGTCAACCGTGCAAGTGAAGAGAGGATGCCTGCCAGTTGCTTGCCTTACTGCCGAGCATTTGTACAGAGGAGTGGCGTAGTTCATCTTTTGCGCGTACTCTTGTAATATGTTCTTACACAACCCTGTGTCATGCTGGAATTGCATCCATCAGAATATATATAGGTCAATCTGTTGGAATTTACAATGCACTCCAGGTGTAAAGTCTATAGAGTAAAGATGTTCATGCCACTGGCGACTACAATATAAAGATCATTTGCAATTTTGTTCCGCACCAATTCACCCTTGCAAATATATGATCCTCCAATTCAACTAAATGCTTTTGTTTTACAAATAAAGGTCTTCTATTTGGGCAACCGTTGATGTAAAACAACTGAACTACCATTGCACGGTTATTTCAGAATTCAGACTCAATTTTTAAAAAAAACACACATTTTTTCATGAAGGGCATTTAAATAAAAACAGGAGTATATGGTAACAAAATGTCACATTCAAAGTGGCCTTTTTTGGTGGTGGGTGGATGTGGTGTGGGGTGGGGGGGCTTGCATGAGCACATTAAGTAGTTACTGAAATAAAACATCAATCACTAATCTTTTAAAATTCATGAAATCATACCTAAAAGCTTTTTACTTGACAGTTTCACTAAATTTATCATACTCCATATTTTTATTTACTTCGGAACACTTTTTGGCAAATGAAAAATATTAACTTTGCTTGATGAAACAGTTTTTTAAGAACAAATTCAGTTTTGTAATATGATATTTGGATGGATTAATTTAACTGACATAATTTGAAACCATATGAAACCATATGAGAAAAGAGGGTGTTTCAAGAATGAAAAAAAAAGAACAGAAATTTTAGTGCCACAAGTCTTGGTGAAAGATAGATAGCACTTACAACCGGCATTGATATGCATTCTTTATTATCCCCAGACCGGGAAAGTTCCAGAAGAGCAACTTCAGCCGCTGACTGTTCTGCCGCTTTGCGATTAAAAAATCCTGGCAGAGAATCATACTTCACGTCGTTCACAACCACTGTTGACCTAAATAAAGGTCCGTGAGGCGGTCCTTCCTTGATGGTCTCGTAAATTGGCGTTGGGAGTCCGAGTTTTTGTGCATACTCTTGCAATCGACTTTTAAATATATAACAATTTGATATGCCTACCATGGCACACCACTGAAAAAGATCAGTAGCAGCAAGAGACTAAATCCACAAAATACTCACACAACAATATCCCAACCACAATAAACAACATGCACCTACTGCTGCTAGTGAATCATGTGTTTTTAGCCAGGAAAAAAAACAATACTTCATCAATCCTCGTTAATGTTAGGGGTAGGACTTGGCACAGAGTTTGAGAAAACGTGTGTCGTGTTGGGATCAATTTGAAAAGTAGCAAAGAAAATGAATTATACATTGTTTTCCTTAAAAGGAATGGAAACATAACATTGTTTTGGGAGGGACCAAAGCAGAAAGTAGATCGAAGGGTAAGGGTGTAGTATAATCCAAAACAAATATGAAACTAAATCATCAGATTAATAAGCCTAAGACCTACATAAAGTGACCATGTCAATATATCTAGACTGGAACAGCTAGCTGGTGTAAACTATGTGGTAATCATATTAATTAAAAAAAGAAAAATCTGCTTTCAAAAAAAATGAAAAAATAAACTGCTTTAAAAAAAATTTAGAAAAATCCGCTTTCAGAAAAAAAATCCTTGAAATATAATCACATATGAATATAATACTCGAGAACTACAGCAAATACAATCAACAATTCAATAGAAAGCGTAATCTTAGAACCACCAACGCGCATTTTTATTGAAATGTTGAGTCTGTACTATTTCCCAAATGATTTCAAGTTCATATGGAATTGACATATGATTAAAGCAACAGATGCATATTTTTCAATAGCAATAAGGTTCAAATTTGCTAGGGCACGTGGAAAAGCGGGATTATTTCACCCATTTTTTCAGATAAAACCTTGTCACATACTCTGTCTGAGCAGCCTTGTAACATTAAAAACAACATAAGAGAGGAAAATTAGAAACCAACTTTCCTCTTCTATATTTCATCACCAACAAAAATATTAATTTTACGGATGTAACAAATGCGATCCAAAATTTTAGAAGGAAAAAAAAAGAACAAGACTCAAACAAATGGAGCATCACAATTTCTGGTTTTTCTTTAAATAATTCTTTTTCTTTTTGGAATATAAGAAGCATTGATAGACAACAATAAAAATGCATACTTCATTAAGTTCAGTTAACATCACCAGAATTTACTTAACAGCTGGGTGTTGTGTACTGGCATGGCCATGTGGGAAAGAAGTGTACCTTGGATGTTGTCGGAGTTGTCGCTTGTAGGCATTTCTGGTTGGTGTTTTTCTCTGAGAATCGGCCAAGACAAGAGCCGGGATGAAATTGGGTCACCTTTGCTTTTATCTGCAAACTTCTAAGACACGAGGAGACCATGTTTCTTTTATATTGTTCTTGACTTGAAATTAAAAAATCACAAAAAGAAAATGTTCCTAGACATTGCTTGCACAAAATTCTGCTATAAAAGGCAATATTAGAAACAATTCTAATTCATGCTAAATTCCATGAAATGGCTTCCTTCAAGTGTACTAATGCATTCTCGCCAGTCGCCACTCAATCATACTTTCCATGTTCCCTCTTAGTTGCAAAATTTTGACTTTCAAGTTTTCCTACACACAACATTGACCATTGATATTTTAATTATCTAGTTGTAAAATAGACAAAACATAGATAGTTTGTAAATATGCATAAGTATAAATATAAAAATAAGATTAGCATAAAAATTTGGTCAATGCAAGGTGTATCAATACTGCGAAAGTCAAAATGTCGAAACTAAAAAGGAAGATGAAGTATATAGTAGCTTCTCCTCGTATGCTGCAAAACTCCAATGCCGAAAAACATTAAATCCTGTTTGAGCATCGTTTGAATGTTGGCAAAGCCATATCACAAAGCTCCCTCGGGCAGAGGGCCTTAGAAACCAAAGGTTGGATTTCAGCCAATCAAATGTGTTGCACTTCTCAAGCAAACAACAAACAAAAAAAACAAACTAGTATTTATTGAACTCCATAGAACACAACACTTACGGTGAAAAAACAAACTAGTATTTATTGAACTCCATAGAACAATTCCCAAATCTAAGTTCAATTAATTTATTTAGAAATTAACCATCATCATCAATAGTATTTAGAAAAATTATCCGCTAATTCTTCTCTCCCAGACTCATTTATTGGGAACAAAACCTCGAACCCTAGTTCATTCTGGAAATTAAGATAAGCGAAGAAAATCAACGGTGACATATCTGCATAACTGAAACAAGACATGATTTGTCTTTGAGAATGCCTGAAAACGGTGGGCGGTGGTGAAGCAGTGAAGAAGACTGAAGACTAGCTTAGAAAGTGAAATACCTGAAGAACCGGGAGAAGGGTGGATTGACGGATGGCGTGCCAGTGGGGAGGTCGAACTTCGAAGTGAATAGAAAGGTGAGTGGAGACGAAGGCAGAATTGGGCTGCGTGAATTATACGGAATGTGAAGAAGGCCGTTGGCCCGTTTCTTAACCTGCCCCATTCGCCCAAAAGGTCAAATACACTTATTTAACATTGGTGACTTATCCGAAAATAATTACTGTGGTATATATAAATACACGGTATATTGAAGTAGTCATTGAGAAACGAAATGCGCAGTCGCCCGATCTCGATTTAAACATTGACTTCAGGTTGGCGTCACGAGGATTCTTCTTGTTGTCACATTGATAACAAACTGTGGCAAAATAGTGAAAAATGAGAGTTATTTTTTCTTCCTATCCCATTTTTAAAATATTTTGTAAAAATAATTAAAATAAATGGAATAATACTTCGGAGTACTTGAAAGAATTATAGAGAGACATGAGAGAAAGATGGTTTAAATTTATAAGAATATTTTTTTGTTTAACGGCATTTTAGCGGTTGTGGGGGGTTGTGCCAACAGAAGCAAGGACTAGATGAAGCATCAAATTTTGACGCAAGAACCATAACACCTCCGTCAAATTTACATGTTAGAACAATTTATAAAACAACTAAATTTTGTAGAATTTTTAAAAAAATTACTCTCTTCGTCCTAAAACTTTCATCCCAAAGCACGATTCCAACTTCAAGAGAACTTATATTTATTTGTGTTTTTTCATGGCATATATGATAAAATAAAATATTCTTGTCACCACTTATTTTGTAAAACTTTTGATGTAGTTTTTAAATATGTACGAGTATGTTTTATTTTTTATTTCTATACCAATTTTTAAATAAAATAGATTGAAAAAACTTGGAATTTTTCTTTGTTTTTCGAACCGGGAAGAAAGTTTTAGAACGGAGGGGTATGAATTTACTAACTTGTGGATCTTAATTTTCAAAAAATCAGACAAAATTTTTTAAAATCCTGTTAATAAAATAAATTAAAATTTACTCCAAATAATCCAAATTTTGTACTATTGAATTACAATAATCCAAAAATTTTACTCGTACATAATTCATAAATTCTACTTTTAAAAAAAAATAATCATAAATTCTAAAAATTCAATCATAATTTCTTAAAATCTAAATTAAATACGTACTGAGTATGAAAAAACAAGCAGCCAAGTCTGGTGAAATATATCAGGTTCCGCCTCCAGCGAACGTCATCTTTAGCGGCCGGCGAAGCTCCAAGGAACTGGAAGGCGAGCAACCTCCATAAGCAGATCTACAATATAGGTGCTAACCAGCAAACGGTGAGTAGATCCAATCGGACGTGACGATTTGGGGAAGACTATGGAGATAAACTAGGGTTTGATATTTTAACTCTGTCATAATCTATAGTTCTGTGATGAGAATTTTTATGTTTTCTCGGTTAACATCGATCTTCCATATTCGTCCAGTAAGCTCCTTTTTTGTCTTCGCGCTATAACTTACAAAAAAGCAAGTCTTGTTTCAATTATGAGATGTTTTATCATTTATGATTTGTTTAGATCCATTGTCAAGTTTTTCTAACCTGAAATTGTACAGATCTGTGTATGAAACGCCACTCTAAGTAGATCTTGTTTTCGCGTTAGGATAAGTATTTGCTGTGTTATAATTTTTCATTTTTGTAATTTTTATTTGCTTCATTCATAACAGACTGTATTTTAATTTTTTAATGCTCCTTATTATATACTCCTATTGAATTTAGAAACCCATTTCTTCGTTCATCTTCTTTTCCAGACCGTTTATTATCATTGCTTGGGCAAAAGAAAATGCTCTGCAGAAATTTTATGATGTTAAATTTTAGTTTTGATTTTTTTTTACAGGTAACAAGTGCAACATATTAGCTACTTAGACATTACTACTTGCACAGATAAATAATGGAGGAGTCGGAAAAGAGGAGGGAAAGGCTAAAGGCAATGCGAATGGAAGCGGATTGCGTTCGTGGCGAGGCAGAGAACTCTAATATGGGTGTGAGCTCTGGCCATGGCTTAGCCAATCCACTACTGAGTGAAAACCAGACCTCTCAACAGGGCGTAGCTGATTTGAGACCAAGATTTGACTACTATACTGACCCCATGGCTGCTTACTCCGCAGACAAGAGGAGGAACAACCACATCCCTCAAGTTGTCTCGCAACCACATTTCACACCAAGTAATGTGTATTTTCCTCTTAGGTTGTTAACTACCCGTTTATATACTATCCAGTTTTTGCGCACAATCTTTTCACAGCATTCAAGAGTATCTTGATGCTCCTTTAACTTCATAACAATCCGGAGTAGAGCATACTTGTGTAGAAAGGGGCTTACGTTAATCACCTGTTGTATTCAGGTTTACTTAAGGGTCTGTTTGGATGGCATGGGTTTTGAGGGGAAGGAATAATCTATGTCTTGGAGCATTTCTATCACATTTCTTGTTTACTTCTAGATATAAACTAAGCCCTTCAAAGTATTCCTCGTCTAAACAGATTCCTAAAGAAAACATGGCCATGCTAGTGTGTTAGAAGATACTCCGTATTGAATTGTGCTTTGTTGAAATATCTTTCCAAAGCAATAACATGCTTGAAATGTGGATTACGTCTTTGCATATACACAGAACAGTTTTGCTACTACATATCGTGCATATTATGAAGTGGTAAAGAAGAAAGCTTTATCATTTTCTAGGATTTAATTATCATATCACTGAAGATAATTTTGCACGGGGCCTTAAAGAAGGGCAAAATGAAAAATAGCATTACATGTTGGCGTTGTTTTTAGTTAAACAGCAGACATTATGAAATAACCATCCACAACAACACCAATTCTGAACCATAGGGAGTGTGAATTGTATCCTGTGTTTTATTGACGGCTTTTAGAAAAGTTTACACACTTGACAAGTTTCTCTTTAATAAATGATTGTTGGTAATATATTGGTTTTGCAGGACCAGCATCCTCTAATGTTACAGGTTATCCTTCCCAAGGAAGCTACTTCGAACACGATCAAAGACCACCACAAGCACATCGCCCTCCATTTAGGCCTCCTATGGGGAGCTCCCCTGTGCATGACAGGCTGCCAGGAAGTCCTCAAAATGCTTGGGTTAGTCCTGGTGGCCCACCTTCCAACAACTATCCACCCAATTCCACAAGATTCAGTAATAGCCCAAATCACAGATATGGGCAAGGTGGTCATGGTTTTGGTTATGGGCGAGGAGGGCCTATGTTTAGTAATAGTCCCCGGCCCATTTCTGTACCTGGAGGCAGCAGTAGCAGCCCATACCAATACCAAGGTTCCGGAAGAGGGGGCAGGGGTGGTGGTAGATGGCAAGGTAATAATGTTGACAATCAACGGGAAAATAGATATTATAACAGGTCAATGATAGAAGATCCGTGGGCGCGATTGCAGCCAACCATTTGGAAGAAGAAAGTAAATGCCAACCCCAACTCGTCGTGGATGCCAAATTCCATCAGCAGTGTAAAAAAGGCAAGGGTTTCAGAAGGTCCAGCAGTGAAGATACCCCCTCAGCAAAGCCTTGCCGAGTATCTCGCTGCCTCATTTGGTGAAGCAGTCAATGATGATGCTGTGAAGAATGCCGAGATTTTATGATAATCGCAGCTGGCCCATTCGGGTTTGCATTTCGGGTTCCCCTTTTAAAAAAATTTGTAAAAGTCAAGTGCAGATTATCTTTTTTACGCCAAAATAGTGTTTCTTCCTTTGAGGCTTTCACTGAATTTAGTTATGCCATTGCTTACTCAGTTATTAGTTACTCAGATGTGTTCTTACGTAGTAATTGTTCACCTTGTATATTCAATATGATATGGGTATTGCTGAAATGAATAAGTGAGAAACTCATTTGAAGAACTTAATTATTGTATTAAATTCATTTTCTTCACCAAGGGCACATGCCCATCATTTAAAATAAGCAAACAAAATGAATAAGATTTAATTATGCAAATAGTGTCTAGCTAATTCATTTTTTCAATAAATACAGAGTCAGCAACAACCCAATTAAATCCCACAAGAGTAGGGTCTGGGGAGGGTGTGTGTACGCAGACCTTGCCCCTACTCGAAAGTAGAGAGGCTGTTTCCAAAGAGACCCCCGGCTCAACATCAAAAGTTGCAGTGTTTGACTAACTGCTACTTCATTAATTAAAGAAGCGCAGATAGTTTAGAGATCCATTTTGATTTATTCCATCACACCCCAAAGCCAAAAATGGTGAAATTTTGACTCCATCGAAGATGATGGAAAAAAATACAGAGTACAATACAAAAAAACAATCATTACAACAAAAATTTATTCACCCTAGCCCATCACTCTATATATGATGATTAACAATCTTAAATAATTAACCAACAATCTTCATATATAGTTACGGTAGTATATATATTAATGCTACTACAACTTGCTTCTTCGAAATCATAATTAACATTCATAGAATGATGTGCTGAGGCTCCAAGAAAAGCATTTCTATAATTGAAGGCACTATATATGAAGGTCTCGCAAGAATGATACTCATCAACTTGACGAAATAGATAATAGTATTTGAGTTTGATCTCTGAAGTGTAATAACCCTCAAACACAACAAATCTGACTTTGGAGAAGTCTTCAGGTAGATAATATCACTTTTCTACTTCACACGCCATCCGGTCTTGAAAAGAGTTCCTATTTTGACCAAGTGTAAAAATAAGGAAGTCTTAAATTATACGGAGTAGTTGACTTCAAATTTTGCTCCTGATGTGATGGGTAAAAGTAAGATGTGATGAATAGATTATTAGAGAAAAAGTGTGATGTGATAGGTAGGGTATGAAAAAATAAAAGTAAAAGTGATTTTTTTAATAGAAAGTGTGTGTTTTGTTAGAGTAGAAAAAAATGAAAGAGAAAGTATTTTTGAGAATGGGATACACTTTGTATTTCTCTGTAGATTTTAACCTAAAAATATTATACTCCATCTTAGGACAAAACTCACAAAAGAAAAATAAAAACAACCAATATGAGGGCACAAGACAACATTATGATTGACTTATTTAGAAGATAGGAATATGAAAGAATGAGTGTGAGAACTACATGGGAAGCTTATATATAGAGACAATATGCATGCAGTATGTAGGACAACTGGAAAAGTGTGGGTGAGAAACAAGATATACATTTTCAACCAATTTTTTACTTAACTTAGCTTCATACTTTCCCTTAGGGGTGGACACGGTACGGTTCCGGGACGGTTCCGGTTCCGAAACCGCCGGTTCCGGTACCGCCACCCCTTGGTACCGGTACCAGACCGGCCGGTACCGGTTCCGGTTCCGGTACCGCCGGTTCCGGTTCCGGTACCGTTTCGGTCACCCCTAATTTTGTTTTTTTTTTTTGCTTTTTTATTATATTTTTAAAATGTAAAATTATAAATGTGTAATTGTTAAAAGAAATGATGAAATAAAAAAATCTAAAAATGAATATGATAAAGAAAAAAATGAAATATAAAAAATAAAAAAACGGTACCGGAACCGGAACCGCCGGTGCCGGTACTGAAAAATGGGCACCGAAACCGGATTGGGCAGTACCGGTACCGGTTCTTGGAACCGGTGGACCGTACCGGCCGGCGGTAACGGTACCGGAACCGGCAGTACCGTTTCCGGTACCGGTACTGTACCGGTACCGTGTCCACCCCTACTTCCCCCCACTAGTTAAGCTGAGACATAAATGCATGTAGTGTGTAAGAGAAATGTAGGTGAGACACAAAATATACATTTCCAACCTACTTTAATTTCTACTTAACTCCATACTCACTCCATCCCAATTTAAAATATTTGTTAATTATTCACAACATTGTTAACATTTTTAACCCGAAAATGTTAGGTTATAATAATAATTGAGGAAGTGTATGGTTACATCATTCCAAATGGTGTAACTCGGTGACACCATTTCAATCGGAACACCTATGATACTTCCTTCGTATTATTTATCAAGTTATACTCCATCCGTCTCGAAGTATTCGTCAATTTTTGACTTTTGGAACTATTTATCTAAGCACTTTGACTTATCAAATTTTTTCAATGTGTAAGCCTAAATATATAGTCATGTGTGATCTTGTTTGATTTGTCTTAAGATATAGATTATTAATATATAATTTCTACAATTTTTATTATACAAATTACAAGATAAAATGGATTAAAGAAGTGCATTGGATGGTGTGTAAAAATGAAAGTGGACAAATACTCTGGGACGGAGGTAGTATATCCAATTTATATTCTGTCTTAAAAATTTGAAAATTGGAGATGGAATATGAATAAGTACACAATTAAGGGCTTAGAGATTGTATTAGATGTAATTAGACTTACAAGACTAAGATGTTAAGTTTGAAATAAATGTGTCATCTCATGTAATTAGATGTGCTAATTATGTTTAAGAACAGTTTTCAAAATAATTTGTTTGTAAAGATGACTTTAGTAAAAAAAATAACAGGGAGCAAAAATAAAACCCAATTATTTTACAGGTACTAAAAGCACATTTAACACTATATTCTACTTTAGATGATAAATCTGGTGTTAACTTTTATATTGAGTTTTTTTAAATTAAAAACTTTCCACTCTCCAACTCTTGTACAAATTTCAATTTCATCATAGTAATATGCTCGTTATAATATTTTTTTAATATTCATTAATGTTTAATTCCTTATAAATGTTATAATATATTTTAATTCAAAAATATAAATTTTTTTAAACAACCTACCATTAAATATATATAAAATTTGCACTAAGTAAAACTAAATTTGCACAATTAAATATAACTGTACGGTTTAGGATTAAAACAACAGTCTAGTTAGTTTAGGGGTGAGCATGGTACGGTATGATACGGTATTTAGCTTGTACCGTTGTCGTACTTAATATTTCGGTTCGATATGGGATTTTACTCCGTATCGATCCCGATCCTGAAATATCAGTTCGGTATGGTTCGGGATGGTTCGGTATCAGTTCCGGTACAAATCGGGATGAACATACATACCTACTTTACATGTTAATATTTAACAATACCCCATTATTTTTGAAAATTAAAAGTGAATCTAAATAAAAAAACCTGAAAAATAAAAACAAAAAAATATTTAAATGCAAGAGATGGTATCAAAATTTAGTTTATATTTCACAAACTAAAAAAATGAATAGCAACAAAAGAGTATTTCGAGTCTTTGTGAATACTTTTATGTTCATATACAAAAATTAAAACACAAATAAAAGTATGATTTACACATCATAGAACTTGAACCAATTTTTTTAAAAAAATTATTATTAAGTGAAGGAATATAAAAATATAACTCCGGGGTATTATTTCTTATAATATTTTAGTATATATGTTCGGTACGGGATTTTCGGTATGGGACGTCACCTCGTACCGTTCCCGAATACCGCACCGACCATTCGGTTCGGTACGGTTCGGATCCTTCTTGATACTTTTTCGATTCAGTATTTTTCGATTTGGTATTTTCAATTTTTTCGGAAAATTTCGGTATCGGTTCGGTATTTGCTCACTCCTAAGTTAGTTAATACATGTATAATATGCATATTATACTTACGTATAATACATGTATTATACTTACCTATACGTACAAATTTATAAAATACGCGGATTTTAAGACTTACCCGTATTTATACACGTTTTTTCCGATTCTTTTCCGATTTCCCAAATTAGATCGGTACTTCCGTAGATCCAAATCATTAGGTCTATCTCCTCTCCCATTCCTCGTCGGCTCGTCCCCTCTCTACTCTGGGTCTCTCGGATTCCTCGGCGGCTCTTCCTCTCTCTCTATCGACTGCAGGAGCCACCGCTGCAATTCCCGAATTCCAGACGGCAAATAGGAGCCACCGCCTCTGCGCCACACTGCCAGAGTAGCGATTTCCGACGGCGGTTCCTCTCCCGTAGCCCCACCAGCAGTAGCCTGTAAGTCCCAATTCCCAAACTTAATTTCATAATTTTTATCATTTAATTTGTTTTGATTTGAGTATGAAGTGGTTAATTTCTTTTTTGATTTGAGTATGAAGCAGTAGCTTGTTGGATTTTGATTCATAACTTTATGATTAAGTGGTCAATTGGTCATTGTTCATTGCTTGAGTGCTTAGCTAATTTGGTTTATTTTTGTAGAGTCATGGTTAGAAAGAAGGATCTAGTTGGAAATTAATCTTCACATAGAAACAAACAATTAGGATTATAATGCAATAATGTATAATTATATACGGAGTATTTATATATATACATTTGAGTTGAGTTGCACGGAGGTTTTTCCTTCTTCTTCTTTGATTGGTAAAGAGAATGCGGAAGGGATTTTTCTTTCTAGTACGCGTGGAATCGGCGTCATTGCCTTAAGCTCCTCCAATGAGGATTCGCCACGCGTCTTGAAAACACCCAAATGTGTCTCAGTATTTTCGCCACATGTCTTGAAAATACCCAAAGAGGAGTAGACTTCCAAGTACCCCGAGACAAATTTGGCTATTTTTAATTGGAGGAGCTTAAGGCAATGATGCCGATTCTACACGTACTAGAAAGAAAAATCCCTTCCGCATTTTCTTTACCAATCAAAGAAGAAGAAGGAAAACCCTCCGTACAACTCGAATATATATATATATATATATATATATATATATATATATATATATATATATATTATTGCATCATAATCTTAATTGTTTGTTTCTATGTGAAGATTAATTGCAGTCAACAACATGATGAATTATGCATATCATCATCGTCAAGCTTTCGAGGATGGTAGAAGAAGAAGCACATTTTATGCAGCAGCGGTTCTTTATTTCATCATCATCATCCTCATCGTGGGCCTGCTGGGTAACTACTTGTCTTCTTCCCCAACTGAGGGGGCAATGCGGCCTACTCGGAGGACGTTGATGATGAAGATGAATACGGAAGATAATTCTTCCTCATCAGACTCCAAATCTCTTACGAAAATTTTGTGCTCCATGTACAACACCACATACATCTCTCACAGTGTGTGCGAGGAAATGAACGAGGGGAAGGTGACCCCCGACGACATCGCCAGTCCTCTGGCATTCGCCAGACGCAACATAGAGACCGCCGCGGCTGCGCTCGCTGCACTGCGGTCCACTTCCCCCTTCACCTTTCGCTTTTGGCTCTACGCGTATCTCTCGAGGGGTTACGACAGAATTTACCGTGCTACCCTCCCAAATAGTTTCTATTCTTGGCCCTTGTTGCCCGCCCCGCGGCCTCTCACTCTGCCTACCAGCTTTATAAGGCCGGGGTATACGGGTGCGCTCGTTGTTGATCCTCCATACGCTGTGATGAAATATACCTGGGAGAAGTGCTCCATGGACTTCGACCGGATCCATGTCGTTCTTCGAGGGATTCTTGACAAGTTGGGAGGGGAGGAAGAAGACATAGGGGAGGAAGACGTAGTTGAGATCACGGAATCTTTGAGCAGAGCATATTACGCCGTGTTTGGATGCGAAGCTACGTTGTGGGGGGAAGGTACGGAGTCGTTGCCGTCGTTTAAACCAATATATTCCCACTTGAGTGACTATCTCTCCTACTCCTCTTTTGGTCGGCACCTCTTACTCAACCTCGAAGACTTGAAGAAGAAGACGACAACAACAACAATAACCCAGTTAAATTTTACAAGAGTAGGATCTGGGGAGGGTGTGTGTACGCAGACCTTACCCCTACTCAAAAGTAGAGAGCCTGTGTTGCATTCCTTGACTTGAAGAAGAAGAAATACATAATATTATGATTGGTGGTGTGATTGATCTCCCTTCCTCCTACTTTTGGCCTTTCAATAACTTGTAAAGTATGATCCTTCCTTAATATGGGTTAGTTGTTTTGTTGTGTTTTTTTTGTAGTTGTTTTGTTGTGTTGTTTTAGTCCTACACCCTATAATTATATTGAGAGAGGGAATTTACCATAATATAATTAAAACATAATGATTTATTCAATATAGAACATTATGTTTTTATTTCTTAATGTAAGATCATTGAGCATTATTCACTAGTCATTATTCAAGTAAATGTTTACGATCCATTAGACATTATTTTTCCTATTAGACATTATTAAATTCTATTTAGAAAATAAAAAAAATTAAGTTTTACATTAGGAAATGACTTATATTTTAGTCTTACCTAGTACAAATATTTCCATATTTTATTGGGCAAGGTTCTCATGACATTGAGAATCAATTCTAGTCTTACCTAGAATTGACAGGTTCTACCCCCTAACCCCCCCACTCCGACCCGAACACACACCTCCACTCCCTTCAATTGTACCCCACAAGTTGATTTTAACTTTGGAGTCAAATTTTGATTCCAAAGTCAAAATCAACTTGTGTGGTGCAATTGAAGGAAATGTGGGTGTGTGTTCGGGACGGAGCGGGGTGAGGGGAGTTTACCGGGGGATAGAAACCGTCAATTTTACGAACGGGACACCGGAGCTACCCCTGGTCATCCCATTACATTGGTTTACAATGTCATGGGAACCTTGGTGATACGGTGGGTTGTTTAAAAAAAACTTTTATATTTTTGAATTCAAAAATATTCTACTCCCTCCGTTCCACAAAACACTTCCGTTTTAATTTTTTGCGCATGCCACAAAATACTTCTATCCTAGCTAAAATGTCTAAAATACTCCTAAAACAACTTCTACCTGCAATAAACTACATAGTGGGGTATATTTTAGATATTTTAGGTGGGAGTTAAACCGTTTAATGAGATGTGCAAAAATTTAAGGCGAAAGAGTTTTAAGGAACGGATGGAGTAACATTTATAATGAATTAGATATTTATGAATATTAAAAAAATTATTATACTGAGTATATTACAATGACGAAATTTAAATTTTTAAAAGAGTTAGAAAATGGAAAGTTCTTGATAAAAAAGAAATACTCAATAATAAAATTTAACACCCGGATTATTATCTAAAGTAGAATATAGTGTTAAATGTGCTTTTAGTCCCTATAAAATAATTATATTAAATTTTATTTTTACTCCCTGTAATTTTTTTACTATAGTCGTCTTTACAAACAAATTATTTTGAAAATTGTTCATAAACATAATTAGTACATGTAATTATATGAGATGACTTATTTATTTCAAACTTAACATTCTAGTCTTGTAAGGCTTTGTTTTGTAGCGGCACTTTTGAGTAGTGTTTTGATAAAATTTTAACGATGCAGATTAATTCTGAAAATGATAACACTAAAGACTACCGTCAAATAACTTTTTCAAAACGCTATCACTAATATCTGAAACTGATGATGCCAAATGGGGCCTAAGTCCAATTACATATTTACATACCGTACATCTCCAGGCCCTTAATTCTATACTTATTTATATTGCATCTCCAATAATCAAAATTCTTTAGACATGGACAATAAAAAAAATTAGGACATGAGAACTTTCTGAAGCAAGGGAGCGAGATCAAGGGTGAGGCCGTGAGGGTTTATGGTGGGATTAAGAAGGATAGAAATCATCAATTTTACGAATGAAGTACCATATGTGTCCCGAATTTAGAGGTGTCACGGAGTTGCACCATTTGGGAATTGGGATGGTGTAGCCATACACTTCCTCATTTATTATTAATCCCTAACACTTTCAGGTTAAAATCAAGTGCTCCCCATGCCCCAATTTGAATTGTCTTTTGTTTACGAATTAAAGTTTGAATGAAGTTATTTTTTATTTAATTTATACTAAAAATTGGTATGAAATTAAAAAAATAAAATTTATACATTTAAAAACTATATCAAAAGTTACACTCTTCACGCCTCAAAATTGATTACTCCGTATAAATTTTTTTTCTCACATCTCAATAATTTTTGTTTATTTGTGTATTTACATTGATTATTTTATAAAGTACAATATTTTTGTCACATGTGAAATGGGTTAGGAACGTGGTAAAAAACGTTGTGAATAATAGAAAAATATTTTAAATCGGGATGGAGGGATTATGAAGTTAAGTAATAGAGTAAATTCCCCAAATAGTCCTCAGTAATATGGAGTTTTCCCAAATTAGTCCTCAATAAGTTTTAATTACCTACGTAGTCCTCTATAATTGAGATTTATTCCCGAAATAGTCCTTTGTAATAAGAAATTTTCCCAAATCAGTCCTCAATAAGTTTTAATTACCTATGTGGTCCTCTATAATTGAGACTTATTCCCAAGATGGTCCTTTGTAAATAATGTTACTCAAATGAGAATTAATTGAGGGTATTTTTTCTTTGCTAAATTTAGAATCAATTCTTAAAATAATCATTTATAATGAAGTGCTTTCCCAAAATGGTTTTTCTAATTAAAGATGTGTATTTGATTTGAAATTTAAAAGATTTTTTTAAAGTTTTATAAATGTATTTGGTTTAATTTATGTAACGCCCCAAAATATACCCTAAAATTTTTAATGAATAAATAATCAATTAATCAAATTTGTTTTGATTAAAAATAAATTGTTGTTGGGCCTTGGGCCAAAATAATATGTGTTTTGATATCCAATATCATGATCCGGATAAGTCTCATAGAGATAAATCCAATATGTGGACTATTTGTGTGATCTTGATTGGGAACCTGAGTACAGACCCAAAACAAGAGTAAATAAATAATTTGTTTAAAGTGTAAATATTGAATTGATTTGTTGAAAATATAAATTAAATGAGAGAACCTTTTATGAAAGTTCGCCGGAAAATTTCTAAAACCTCCGTTAAGCTTCGAGGTAAGCCCCTAGATATATCTAATGACTAGAATGTTCATATAGATCGTTTCTACGTTCATAAATGGTCATTTGGTTGAGTTTTGTGTTTGACATACTTGAAGAACTAAGAATCATACACCATGAAATTGATGTTAAAATTACGAATTAATGATGCTAAAATGATCCATGAACCTTGGAGAACATTTTTATATACTTTAATTGAAGTTTGGTGAGTAAAAGTGACATTTCCGCAACTTGGCTCGAGGTAGAAGACGATGGATAATCGATTATCAGCTTGAAAATCGATTATTCATCGTTCTGCAGATTTTTGTAACAAAACTGAGCAACAATCGATTATCAGAATGTGATAATCGATTATCAGCCCTCTCTGAAGTTTGATAATCGATTATCAGAGGCTGATAATCGATTATCAGACCATTCTGAAGTTTGATAATCGATTATCAAAGGCTGATAATCGATTATCAGCCCATTCTGAACATTGTCTCCCTACACTATTGAAGAAAATGAAGCTAATAACTAATAATTGAATTTCCTATCATATGTTAATCAATTTTTATTTAGAAAACATGATTTTTGAGTTATGGAATCTTATATTTTGATACCAAACCATTATGATTAATAAAGGAATGATTTCTTGGTATAAAGATGATGTTTTAACAACTAAAAGAGATTTTATGTGATGCATGACGGTAAGCTAAGGTGTTAACACTCGATGCTAGGCCGCTGATTGTTATTAGTTATTATGATGATTGATTGATTGTTCATTATGGATTAATGATGATGAATATTCTGGATAAAATGATTGTTGAACTAAGAATATGAATTGATGAATAATGTTGTTAAGGATATTTAGAAGAACTCTAAGATATACCCACTTGTATATTGATGATGATTATTAAGGATATCTAGAAGAACTCTAAGATATACCTACTTGACCAATTCATATTTCGGGGTTAAAACGTACGTACGGGATCCAGAACAGATATCACCCACCCGAAAGTTCACTGTTCGGTTGGTACGTAATCCACATGACCCATAGGGTGGATTATCGATTCTTGTGTTCTGCATTAAACTATTTATATAGTTTAAGGGCCTGGTTAGAAATGTTGCCTTAGACTAGGAATAGCTAAGAGCTTGTCATAAAATGATTTGGCCTTAGATTAAGAATAATTTAAGAGCATGGTTGAGATATTGAATATCAAATGACTTGGAATAAAATATTGAGAATATCATGAATATTTGAATTATATATTGTGTGCATGATATCAAATGGTTGATTATGAATTTAGATTCAGTTTATATGGATGTTCGACGCATTAGATATGCTTACTCAGCTTCACCGCTGAGCGTGTAGTATGTTTTATTTGCTACACGCAGGTAAACGGAAAGATTAATGTGATCCTGGCGGCAGATGGGACGAGATTGTCGGAACGGATGTGACAAGTTTGAAATGATTTATGATATGTCAAAATTAAATTCGCTTCCGCAATATTGTTGAATACTCCGTACTGTATATGTTATGAAAAATATTATTGAGATTAATAAAGTGTGTTTGAAAAGTTTTAAATTTTACGGTTACCAAGTTTAATACTTTAGTCCGAAAGGGGCTGCAGACCTGGACGGATTAGAGTGTTACAATTTATCTCTATGTAATAAGGTGTTATCACAAATCAGTCCTCAAATGAGGATTAATTGGGAGATATTTTGGTATTTTGATAATCCAAATTTAAAGTATAATCTCGAAACAATCATTTTTGTACAATTAAACATAAAATTTAAAAAATACATTGACTACAAATAATTTATGAATTATTTAAAACTTAAAAATATCTTTTAAATTTCAAATCAAATACACATCTTTAATTAGAAAAACCATTTTGGGAAAGCACTTCATTATAAATAATTATTTTAAGAATTAATTCTAAATTTTTGCGGATAAAAAATATCCTCAATTAATCCTCATTTGAGTAATATTATTTACGAAGGACCATTTTGGAAATAAATCTCAATTACAAAGGACCACGTAGATAATTAAAACTTATTGAGGACTGATTTGGAAAAATTCCTTATTACAAAGGACTATTTCGGGAATAAATCACAATTATAGAGGACCACGTAGGTAATTAAAACTTATTGAGGACTAATTTGGGAAAACTCCTTATTACAGAGGACTATTTTGGGAATTTACTCTAAGTAATAAGTTGGTCGTTGAAATTGTAATTTTGTGTCTCACCTACACTTCTCTAATTCTCTTACATATTGCATGCATTTATGTCTCAGCTTAACAAGTTGGAGGAAGTATGAAGTTAGTAAAAAGTTGGTTGAAAATGTATATCTTGTGTCTCGCCTTCACTTTTCCTACATACTGCATGTGAATATTTATATATACCAAAGGCCAGACTTGTTCGTTACCGGTCCGTATTAGTCTGGAACTGAATTTTTCAGTTCGATCTGGGTTTACCTTATTATGGACCAGATTTTCAAGATTAAAAAAATACATCAATGTAAAATGTGCTATGCAAGGCCAAGGCCCAAGGGTACGATGTGTTTGTTTAGGTCATTAAAATTGATAATGGACTAGGAAGTGTTTTGTTTGGATTTAGTGGATATGTATAAAAATATTACTAATACATTAAAAAAAATTCGGTCCAGACCGGTCGAGATGGAGAGAGTATGAAGTTAAGTAGAAAATTGGTGAAAAATGTAGATTTTGTGTCTCACGTACACTTCTCTTACATACTGCATGCATTTATGTCTTTGCTTAACTAATTTGAGGAAATATGAAGTTAAGTAAAAAGTAGGGAGTAATATTTTTGTCACATTTTAAATGGATAGTGAAATGGGTTAGTAACGTGGTTAAAAACATTGTGAATAATAAACAAATATTTTAAATCGGGACGAAGTGAGTATGGAGTTAAGTAGAAAGTTGGTTGAAAATGTGTGTGTGTGTGTGTATAAACGTAAGGGGTAAAAAAAGGTTTTTTAAGGGGAAAAAAAGTTTATTTGAGAACAAAGAAAAAATGAAATTGAAATTTTATTTAGGAATGGAGGAAGTATTAACTTAATTAGTTTCTATTGTAGTTCTCACACTCATTCTTTCATATTTTTCTCTTCTAAATAAGAGTCAATCATAATGTTGTCTTTTCTCCTCATATTTGTTTATTTAGGTAAATAAACCAATATCTCTTTTTTCTTTTGTCCTCACATGGAGTATAATATTTTTGGGTTAAAATCTACTGGTAAAGATATACATTTTCAACCAATTTTTTCCTCTGATACCAAATGACAAATGAGTTCTGTTATTACAAAAAGGAGCAGTGAAGATAAGCAAATGAAGGGAATACATTAGTTTTACGGTAAAATACGACAAAAAGGATGAAATTGATAAGCAATTATTACAACTCAAATTTATTTGTTGACCCATCACTATATGATGATGATGATTAACAATCACTCTTTAATTAACCCGGCCAAATTGATCAATCTTTAGTTAGTTAATTAATTACCGGATCATGATACCGTGAAGCCGAGCGAAACCACAAAACGTCAACCGTTTGGGTAGCTAGGGAGGTTCACGGCCAAGGAAGGAAACCCCTAGGGTTTCGGTAGTGTTGACGGACGAAAGGGAAGAGAGAGAGAGAGAGAGAGAAAATAAGAGAGAGATTAGGAGAGGACTTCTTTGTTATGGATAGTTGTGAGGAAGGTAAACCCTCCTTTTATAGAAGACAATGAGTCCCAATCCTACTAGAACTATGTTATCTATCCTGTCGGTTCAAAAAAAAACGACGAGGTAAAGAACCGAAAAGAAACTCTCGAAGGAGCTTATAATTACGCTCACCTAGGAAAATCTAAATACAATAATGGAAAATAACAAACGGAAAAAGTAACTAAACATAATCTTGATATTTTTTTGGCGGACGAACATTCCTCTTTGGACGACCCGTCGTGGCAGGGACGGGGTCGTGACCTTCTTCTTCATGCGGGACAGCCGGATGCAACTCAGATTATCTATGCAAATGAGCTACTACAATCTGCATCTTGGAAAGAAATTCTACCCTCAACTAAATCATAATTAACATACATGGACTGTTGTGCTGAGGCTCCAAGGTAAGCACTTCTGGATTTGAAGGAACCATCTATGAAGGTCAAGCAAAAACGATCTTCATCAACTTGACGAAAGAGATGATAGTATTTGAGTTTGATCTCTGAAGTGTAACCCTCAAACACAAATCTGACTTCGGGGAAGTCTTTAGGAATCTCCGAAGACTTTTTGCCTAAGTAACAAGGCCGACCTTCCCTAGACCGCTCTACGGCTTTTATTCTGTCCCCCATCAATCTATTCACCTCATTCGTAAACACTTCAAAGGTACCTCTTAGAAGTATGTTTATGGACGCACCTGCAATCATACATACATTACAATTTACACACACATACATATACAAATATATATATATATATATATATATATATATATATATATATATATATATATATATATATATATATATATAGAATGGATACGATGCGATAGATAGACGGATAACTATTACGGAGTAATTGAAAATGAGAGTTGTTTTAGAAGTAATGAAAAATGAAAGTCAAAGAGGTGTTGTTTGGCATGGGAAGGAGGTATTTATTATATTGGCTAGCTAGCTTAATTATGATGATTGATTACCTGTGTCTATCAGAGCTCCTCCTCCACTCAGAGTACGGCTCCTTCGTAATTCATACTTTGGAGGATTAAGTTTTTTATCTCCAATCCAGATCTCGGCGATGCTGACATAGTAGTGCCCGTCCTCCTCGTACAAGTTTGTCCACTTCTTGTTCTCTATGACTGGTTCTCCAATTATAAGTGCGCTGTTACCCGTCGCCTCTTGTTCTTCAAAATCGGGCAAACGTCCTAAACAATACGAAAACTGTGCCTCGTACGGGACCTGGGACATAAATGATAGTCTTTCGTTCCCAAGACCAAATACTCCGTTGACTTCGGCCAAAAACATGGCATTGCCATCAAAGCACGCCGACTTGGAACAACCAAAGTAAATAGTACTGAATTGTTCCAAATTGGAGGCCCTAAATGTGTCCCTTATGATTTTACCACTACTTCGTGCAGATTCGTACGCTACTTGATACTCACATTCCTCAACTTCTTTTTTACACTCATTGTAGTTAGTTCTTACAGTACCAGGATTTCGGCAATAGCTATCCTTACAAAGAACTCTCTGATAGCCAAGTGATAACTCTGGATCATATATTGGTTTTGTAATTTTGTATGACTCACCGCAAGGGTTTTCGCAAGGCTGGCAGTGAACCCACACAATGCTGCTGCCCGTATCCAGCACCAGCACTTGTTTCAATCCTTCATCGCCAACGTAAAACTCAACAAGGTACAAACCGAGGCCAAATGCATAATTAGCAAAAACTTCACTATATGCTGGGTTTTCTCTAACTTGACTAAGACTTAAGTTAGATAACATGATTTCTTTCTCATGCAAATATGCAATGCGATGCAAAGACATATTCAGCTCACTAGCGTGACGGTATGCAAAGCTAGCGTCGGGCTCGAATACTTGAGAATATTTTGAGCCGTAGAATGTCATCGAGAGCGCTGCACGGTTTTTTTGCTCGGGCTCAATGCGTGTGGTAGATGAAGCATCGGTGGTATATGTCAGTCGTACGAGTGATGATAAAAGAAAAACAAAAATAACAAGAATGAGGGCTGAAGACGACATTGTATATTATCTGTAGCTCACTTAGAATAGAAATTTCTACTAAGAATGAGTGAGAGAACTACAAGCTAAGAGAAGGTAAGCTAAGTATAGAAAATAATGGCATTGTGTTAAAAAAATTTAAGAGAAATATATAGAGACACATGTTTGCGGTAGGAAAAGTATAGATGGGACATGCACAAAATGCCTCTTCAACGTTCAACCTAACCGAAAAATGCACAAGATCCAAACCACACCTATATACAGCTGTCAAATAACTACTCCCCCCCCCCCCCTCCTCCCCAAACTTCTTAATTTTGAAAAATGCACCGGGTAGGATTTAATGAATACGTAGAATGTAATTTTGGTGTTACTTTTAGTTTACACTTACTTTAGGGTAGGGTATAATGGTAGATGATGAATATAATAATACTCTTTCCGTTCCAAAATGATTATCTTTGTACTATTATGATAGATCTCAATAATTTTTATTCATTTGTATGTATTTAGTCATTATTTGATAAAATAAAGTACTCTTGTCACATTTTATTTTGTAGAATTTTTGATATAATTTTTAAATATACATCATTTTTGTTTTAATTGTAATAAAATTTGTAAATAAAATTATTTTAGAAGTCATGAGATTTTACACATTGCTCATAGACTTACCGGATTCATGTCGTTCTTCGAGGGGTTGATGTCTTATGTGGATGTTAAGCTGGGAAATAGTTAGGCCGCATCAGCAAATGAAACATGGCAATGGGTTGTCAAGACTAAAATAAAAACAAAAAAAAATTGGAAGGACTCTTTAAGAAAATATATATTTATAGGGACTAAAAATAAAGCACGCCTATTTTCGAGGGATTAAAAACATAATTTCCCATAAAATGAAAAATGTTGAGTATGTAGTTTAAAAAAATCTATAATGCTTTGTTTTTAAAACATAATACTCCGTAATAAACTTATGAAACCGGCCTTCTTGTTAAAATAATAAAATAAATGTGTAGATTAAAAAATTAAAATGGTTAAATGCATATTAGGATAGTACTTAGAAAAGGAAATTTTTTATACAAATTTAATGGTCATTGAATGTGATAATTATGAAAGTTATTTGATGTTAAAAAATATTAAAATAAGAGATGCCAAAATTTTAAAAATTCACAATTTATATTTTGTTTGAAAGAAAATAAAATGAAATAAATATTGGATAGTTTTAGAAACTAATTACTCCGTATATTATAAAAAATGATGGTTAAAGCTCCCCCTAAACTTCTCATCCTATCCAATAGTGTAACACTTAAAGTGAATGTTACGTAAACTGTCGAATTCTTAAAAAATTGACACTCTTTAATTATAAATTATGATAAAAGTATATCAAATTATAATATAAATTCAATATATTATTGGATTTATCTTAGGAAATAGTTTTGATATATCAACTTTTTATTTTTTTTATCGACCGTACATAATTGCAATCAAAGATTGTAAATGATTGTTCCTATTTGTATATGGATTCACATGCTCATTGTAGGCATAGTTAATATTTGTGATAGGCTTTTGCATGCAGATTGCATGTGTCGCATTTGAAAAAATTAGTTAAAGTGAGTGAACATTTGTCCCCCAACCACTCCTTATCCATAAAAAAAAGCAAGAAATTCAAAAAAAAATATTAAATAAAAATAAAATAAAAATATGTGATAAAAAGGATTGCTCTTTCAAAATTTGAGCTAACGGTGCACTAAAGCCACTTTAACGCACAAAATAATTCTAGTACGGAGTATATACATATAATAATCCGTACGTTCTTTGTTCCTGATTTGACCAAATATAAAAATGAGAAAGTGTTAAATTGTACTCCTTTCTCATTTTATAACACCTGTTTCGGTTTATGATGTTTGACTGAAATTATTTTCAAATCATTTTATATGACAAATGGTATATAGTTAAAAAATAAAAATTACATAATAAAATACTACGTCAAAAGATCTACAAAACTAGTTGTGACAATAATGTTTTATTTTATCAAATTGCTAATGAAAATTGAGAAAGAAAGTGAATGAAATTTGACTCTGTGAATATGAACATGTTTTATAATTTGGGACGGAAGGAGTAAGTGACTTCTAATCTTATCTTTGATGTGATGATAAAGCTATGATGTGATAGATAAATTATAAGAGAAAAAGTATAATGTGATAGGTAGGGTATGAAAAAGTAAAAGTAAAAGTAGTTTTTTAATAGAAAGTAGAACTATTTTGTTGAAAGTGAAAAAAATAAAAAAAAATGTCTTTTGAAACGGAGGGAGTAATGATTAAAAAATTTGGTTAACTATTGAGTGAAAAAATATACGGATTAGTATACAATTATTTAACAAAATTCAATGAATTAGATGGAAGTACCTAAACTTGGCAGGTATGGAAGAAGCTAGAAAAATTAGATTTGGATGCATTCTATAATGAATTGATATTTTTTAAAAATTCGAAACATAATTTGAAAAGTTGAATCCTCTCTAATTTAAGGGCATTTCGTTCAACGAAAATGCATTGGTACGTTATTAGATTTTTTAATATATACTCCGGTATTTGTGAATAGATTAATTTATAAAAATAATTGTAGAAAACTTGTAAAATGATTTAATACTCCCTCCGCTCTACTGTAATCGTCCGGTTTGACTTTTTTAAATCAAATTAGACGAATTATAATAATCAATTAGTTTCAATTTGTATTATATACGGAGTATTACGGTAAGTCTAAAATGACACCAGTACTACTGGTATCATTTGCTTACACCAGTTCGTTTGGGGTAGCTACGGTGCTCCGTTTATAAAAACGATGGTTCCTACCCCACCTAACCCTCCCCCTAAACCCCCCACCCCAGCAAAATTGTATGCTAATCATTATTAAATGAAGCAGAACCTTCAACATAACATTAATCAAGCATTAACTGCAAATGTATGCTTCAACAATTCAAACTCTTAAGTAGCTGGATATATATTGAATTCCCAGGTAAATTAATAAAGACAGAAAGAAGAAAGAGTTTCATAACTTCATACCCCATCAAGTCGTTAGTTTTTCCACAAGAAACACAGTAGAACTGTCCATCCAGTCTTAGACAAGGACCATGCAGCAAAATGCCAGATCTTTCATGTGAAAGAGAGCATCTGAGGTGGCACGACAACCCGCAATAACCGGATTCCTCTGGACAATCAGGAGAGCAACAGACCAGCCACAGACTGGGATCTTTGTTGTCATCGTACCTATGACAAATGCAGCAAGAACATCTTCTGCAGAAGACATCTGCATCATTCATTACAGCTCTGCATGCTGAGTTCTGACAGAGAAAGGCTCCCGGCTTGTCTTTCATCTCCTCGTCACATGGATGATCATCTGGGATTAGATTTTCTTTGGTATTTATCGTCCTTCTACAAGAAAACAGCTTCAAGAGATGCTCTATCATTCTTGCTTTGGTGAAGCCAGGGTACTTCCTCTCCTTGCCCATTTCAGCACATATTATTTCAAGCAGTTGTCTCCTGCCCAATGAACTTAGGACCTTTGGTGCATCATCCGACCATTGATAAATCTCATAAAGTAATTCCCTTCTCTCCTCTAAACTCAACCGGCTATATTTATAAGGGTTGATTACAAAACCTGATAATTTTGATATAAAAAAAATCTCGTTTGTAATGAATGAAGAAGTATGGGAATCACAGTGGACAAAAAAAGGGAATTCACTTCAAAGATGAGTAAGCAAATACTTCAAATCATATACGGAGTATCTAAGATAAACTTAAACGTCTTAATTTGAAAGGAGAAAAAAAAAAAGAAGATTCAGATTGTGTTTGTTAAAGATTGAAAAAACCCCATCATTGTGCCAACCTCCAGCCACAAGCATGTGCAATCCATCCCTCAAATAACTTTTGTCCTTGCAGAGGCCATTCCAAGATTATTCTCAATGTATAATCTTCTATTTATCCCTACTGATTATTGCCAAACAAAGTACTTGCAAGAGAGAAGTCAAAGGGCATGAACAATATTGGAAGAAGAATATTACAGCAATGACTTTCCATTGTTAAAGGCCCACAACAGCAAAATTTCATTAACAGTTTCACACTCCACTTTTTTTTTTCGTATAAATAAAATCACACTTCACATTTCATAAAAGAAAAGGACGAACCCATTTTGTCCCAATTCACATTTGATAACACAAGGTAATGGGTGATATCTCCACACAGACACATAAGAATCACAACTTTATTTCCTGCACGCTCAAGCCTATACCAGGGAAGAAAAAAGAAGTCATAAGATAATCAAGCTCTAAATAGTCCACCAGCAACTCCATAGTGTCAAACATCATGCAAAACCCCATAAATAGTAAATAAATACTGAATAAACAACAACAACAACAACAACAATAAAAGGCACAGTAAAAACAAAGAAATCCCCCCGAAACTAAAAGAAGAAGAAAAGGGGAAACCTGATGGTGAAGGTTCAATAGCAGAAGCTTCGTTGCCTCCGACGGGTTTTTTCATGGTTTATGAATACAAAGAAACGCAGCTCAGCTGTGGCGTGGAGATGCGGAAAAACTTGGATCAATTTGGGGAGGGGAGGGAGATAAAGAGATGAGCAGTTGCCCTTCAGTGATGAGGCCATGGATTTCCGTCATTGGATCGATCTTGTAGCTGGCTGGCGGTTGATTCCGCCCACTGGGTTGAGGTAGACAAATTATTAAGATGACACAAATGCTAAAATCACAAACATTTTGGTCACAAAATACACAATCCTACTATTTGTGTACCTCACCAAATGAATTAAATAATGTTAAGAGCAATGTTATGTTCACAAACAGAATACTCACAAATTTCACAAACTTATGGTTTAAAATTTCATTTTAAAATCACTTTAGACTATTTAATTTTTTCCATTGAAGTTCACAAATAGTAAATTTATAATGTTTGTGACCATTGTGTTTGTGAACCAAGCATTTCCCTAATGTTAAATAATTAAAAAGTAAACATTTAAATACACAAATAACAAGGTTGTCTCTTATAGTCTCAAAAATAGAGTAGGAAAATTAGTCGGTAACTCCTTGAGTTATTTCAGATTTGGTTTGGAAACTATGTGTTCATCACTCATTCTTATCGAGTTTGTGTCAAACCAACGAGTTATGATTTTGGCTTTTAAATTTTTTTAAATTTATATTAACATTTGCATTTTGCATTGAAGAAATTTAAAATATAAAAATATATATTAAATCTATTAGATTATTTTATTTTAAATTTTGAAGTAATTTTTAGATATATAAATCAATACAAAAAATTAAAAAAGATATCATTTTTGAAAAAAAAAGTAAGATAATTGTGTAATATCATTAAAATTTTGTCCGGAAATATAAATTTATACACTAAAAACATGTTGTAAGAAAAAAATATGATTATAACCTTACTTTTATAACATTATATTTCCTAGTAAAGTATATATAATTTATTTTGAAAAACTATTACACTAGCAGGTCGGTCAGGTCGGGTTTTGGTTCACAGAGTTTGACCCATTTTTGCAAGTCATTTCAGGTTCAGTTAACTTCGGGTTCAGTCATCAAAACCTTTATTCAAAGTCCAATCTTTTCGGGTCGGATTTCAAGTCAGAAACAGGTTGAGTTATTTTTTACCAAGTCTACTCAAAATTTAGGTCGGTTGTTTCTCAAGATTCTAATATTCCCACATCAATATCCTTCTAGATTAAAATATTCTTCAAATATACGGAGTATGTGAATATCTTCACTACTCCAATACTCCTGTGGTTTTGGAAATGGGCACCGTTGCCACTTTGTTTTTCTTTATTGTCTTTTTTTCTTTTCTTTTTTCATGAATGTTTTTTAAGTTCTTTTTTAAAACTATTTTTAAAATGTTTTAAAAATCAAATTTTTAATATCTCAAATAAAAGATCAATGAAATAAAAAGAATCAACATCCAATTCATTTGTTTGAAATTATAAATTTTCATTTTTCGTTTAAAAAAAGTCTTATTGAATTGGTTAATTTTCTTGAAACAAAAACTAATGAAACATTTTTTCTTTTTTCACACTGAAGTTCATTTCTCATTTTCGATCTATTCATTTTCTATATTTTTCTTTTATTTTATGTTTCTCTTTTTAATTTTTAAAAATATATCATTTCTTTAATTTTATTTTAATCAAAATTAAAATAAACGAAAAAAGAAAAGAAAAAAATTAAAGAAAAGTATATGAAAAATACTTTTATATATGGAATTGTAGAAAATTAAGCCATGAAGGAAATCTGTTGCGCACCGATCCAAAAAATATTATGAATATATAATTGACGAAACATTAAAAAGATCGTGCTCTATATTCTTTTGGTCCTAATATTTTCAAAAAAAAATTAAACCAAAATTCATAACATATAATTCGAGACAAATGAAATATATCTTAATTTTTTATTTCAAACACAAAAAACTTTTATTTTAAAAAATAGTTTTGTAAAATGACTTACAGGATTTCTAAAAAAAATGAAAAAAAAAGAAAAAACAATAAAGATAAAAGAGAGGGGTGTTGGTGCCTATTTTCACATTTTCAAAACCTCCCATATTTTTTTTACTCCTATCCTGGGAAAATTCTTGTTTTTAGGAGTATGCATTTAATTACTAGTACTCTATCCGCCCAGTAAACCTAAACAATAAAGCTTATAATGAATATGTCATTATAACCTAATTTTTCTCTACATTATTCACTTTATTTCATCACATTAAAGGCAAAACATGTAAGGTCTTTATATTTTTAACTTTTTTTAATTTTTGTATCAAATTAAAGTATGATAGGAATTTAATTTTTAGACGGAAGGAGTATAATTAATTTGAAACGCCGTGGAAGGTGGTAAGAAATTAGTGTTATCCGTACGATGGAAATAGCTGGATATGTAAATGGATGGGTTGCACCAAACCATTCATCAATGACATATCTTGGATCATATGCATACCCATTGCCATTATTATCTTGTTTCCAAAGATGGAATTGCCCACTGCCCAATGATCAATTCATCAACATCATTATATATATTGTGGAAGGATATAAATGTATAATTATGATGAGTAAAGTGGTCAAGAGAGACTAGATCAGATCATTTACTCACTAGCTAAATATGCACAAGAAGCTAGCTGCTAGCCACCTTTGTTTTGAGAAGTTGCTCTCATCATGCAGCTTGTGAGTTTCAATGTTTGGTCTCTTGTGTCAAACGTTAACCATGTGGCCACTTGTGAGAGTATGGTGATGATTATATTGATGAGGATATTTCAATTGAGGATATTTCAATTGTCATTGCATCTGTCAAGAATGCTCCCTCCATCTATAAATTTTCTTTTGATTTGATTTTTTGTGATATCTTAAATTATATTTTGATCATTAATATCACTATTTATACATCCATACATATATATATATATATAACAAAAAAGTTTAATATTTTAGAAATATATTTCAAATCTAATTATTAATTAATAATTATAACGATTTAATACGGAGTATATTTTTTCAAAATATATTAGATTTTTTGGACTGAGGTAGTATATACGAGCTAATCATGATATTTAATACCGAGTACGAAGAAATGTTTACTTTGAAACCAAATTGTAAAATCATACATATTTCAAATTAAAACATATCATGCTAAGGATGATGTGTATATTTTAAATATCTAAAACATGTAAAATATAAAGGACATGCTAGGGGTACACGAAAATGAAGTACCTAAAACAAATTATCTGTGTTTGTCTGGTATATAAATGAAATACCGTGTTTTGATATACCCCTAGGTTTAATCTAAACACAACTATCATTGATGTGAATTGGAGCTCTAATTAATACGAAGGATGTGGCTAGTAAGATAGAGTTCTCTCTTCAAATAAAGTCTAATCATATACTCTTCATTCTTGAATAACTTTTTAAACTTAGCTTTATCAGGTTTAACTCACACAAAAATATTGAAGCTTTATTTAAATGAACATTAATATTATCAAAGAAAATACTCCCTCCGTCTCTAAATATTTGCCATATTTGTATTCTCGAGATAAAATATTAAGTTTTTTCAATTCATTTTATTTACATATTGGTATAGAAATAAAAAATAAAATTTACATATCAAAAAACTACATGAAAAGTTCTTCGAAATAAGAGGTGTCAAAAATATTTTATTTTATCAAATAACCAATGAAAACATAGAAATAAACAAAAGTTTCCGCGATTGCTGAAAAAGCAAATGTTGTAAATATTTTGGGACGGAGGGAGAATCAAAGTTTTATCCCAAACATATACTATCTCTCAAAACCTTTAACTTTTAAAAGATTTAAGGAAAGTTAATTTTGGTTTTGATTTTCCAAAAATATATTTGGATATGATGAGTAAAAGTAGAATGCGACGAGTAGATTAACAGTGAACTAGTATGATGCAATAGACACGTTAAAAATATTTAAATTGATAAAAAATGACTTTTTAATAGAAATAAGGATGATTTTTATAAAAAAGAAAGTCAAAAGGATTTTGTAGATTAGAAAAGGTAGGTTTTTATGGGGAGAGAGTAAATTTTAAACCGTGTTAAAAGATTAAAACTCATATAACCTGGTCTCAGTTTTTATTTTCAGTTGAATCACCGTCATTTATCTCATCTTACACCCTTGTCTGAGTGAGAGAGGTCTTGCGTGAGTGATTCTACCTTTTGAAACAAATTTTATGGTTTGGACTCTAGAAACAATATTTACTGTTACCAAATAGCGAAAATAGGAGAGGGCTCTGAATGAAATGTCAACTACTCCTATATATTTTGGGTTCTCCTTCTCCCCGATCGAGTCTCCCGGGCCTCTCTAGCTAGCTATATATCCCATCCAAACCGGCCGGCGAGCATAGTTCCTAGCAATGAACCCATCAGACATGGACGGAATCGTCTACGGCCACCGCGTATCTACGGTGGTGCCGGCCAGCATAACCGAGGGGGAGGAAAAGATGACCCACAAGCTGACCAACGCCGATTTGGCGATGAAGCTCCACTACGTAAGAGGGGTGTACCTCTTCCGAAGCCAAGCCGTGGAGGGGCTGAGCACCGTCCACCTGAAAGACTCGCTATTCCCGTTGCTCAACTCGTACTACCCGGCCGCCGGCAGGATCCGGAGGTCCCCGCCGGAGGGAGGCCGCCCGTTCATTAAGTGCAATGACAGTGGCGTCAGGGTCGTGGAGGCTAAGTGCCAGAAAACCGTCGATGAGTGGCTGGCTTTGACGGCCGCCGGTCAATCTTCGCCGGATCCGTACGACCGGCTTCTTCGCCCGGATCATTTCCTTGGTCGTGATGATGACTTGGCATTTTCACCACTTCTCTTTATCCAGGTAACTGTGGAGCACTACAGTTAAAGAGTGCGAAGTAAATACGGAGTACCATAATACGGAGTATTAGGAAAAGTAAAACATAAAAAAAATATCAAAATAAAACTTTTTTATTTTTTATTTTTTAAATAAGAATTGTTGTGCTGTATAAAAATATTTTACTATACTTTTTAGTAATATATATGGTTATTATTAATATTGTAAATATATTTTAATTCTTATTTCAAAAATAAAAACATAAAACTCATGTTTTAGTATATATATATATTTAATATTTTACTCTTACTTTAGTTTTTTTTCAAATACATTTTGTTAAAAATGTCACTAGTTATTACTTGCTCCGTCCTACAAAACTTTTCTCTTTCTTTTCCATCCGTCCTAAAATAAACATTCTTATTTCTATTCAAAAGTTACTATTACCATTATTAAGTTTTAACCTATACTCCCTCCGTCCACAAATAAACTTTACGTTCATTATTCACATGGTCAAACTTTATTCACTTTGTTAGCCTATTTTCGTCACCCATTTGATAAAATAATATAATCATGACACCTCAAGTTTTGTAGATCTTTTGATATAGTTTTTTAATATGTAATTTTTATTTTTCAATTCTACACCATTTTTCATATAAAATGATTTGAAAATAACTTCAGTCAAACATCGTAACGCGTAATGTAAAGTTTATTTGTGGACGGAGGGAGTACATATTAAATCACATTTATTCACTATTAATCTACTCATTACATCTTTTTTTATCCATCACATCTAAGAGTATTTTTTATAAAGTCAACACCAGAATACGTTCTCCACAAATCCCTTAAAAGTGAAAGATTTTGTAGAATGAAAAAAGTACTTTGTATTGTTATATTGCTACTTAACACTATACTCCGTATTACTACCTCCGTCCCACTCTTTTTGTCCAGTTTTGACTTTTAGAACTGTTCATCTAAGTACTTTGACTCATCAAATTCTCTCAATGTGTAAGTCTAAAAATAGTCATGTGTGATCTTGTTTGATTTGTCTTAACATATATATTATTAATATATAATTTTTATAATTTTCTAATATACAAATTATAAGATAAAATGGATTAAAGAAGTGCATTGGATGGTGTGCAAAAATGAAAGTGGACAAAAAAAGTGGGACGGAGGGAGTATTTGTCAATAATGTCAATGCCTTTTCTTTATATCGATTACCTTGGTGCAAATAAAAAAGAAAGGGAATTTAGCCAATTCAACAAATATTTGTACTAAATAATACTAAAATTTAAATCATTTCTCTAAATAGAACTTAAATTATTTTATTCCCTAAATAAAACTTAATAATGTCCAGTGATGACAAATATTTACTTGAATAATGACTAAAAGATAATGACTAAAAGTGCTACATTGGAAAAAAACATGTGATGTTATATATTTAAGTAAGGTCATTATGTTTTAGTGCTATTTAACCAATGACATTAAACTATTTTTTTGTCAAAAGTGTTACCCTTATGTCTCAAAAAAAATTCATTTTTTTTGAAACATCCCAAAAAAACTTCACTTTTCATTTTTAACAAATTTTGTATGACCCTACATTTTTCTCTTTCATTTATATTACTTTCAACAATAAAATTACATTTATTTAAAAATTCGACCAAAACCTAACTAGGATGCTTTTTTTAGATGGAGGGAGAGTACCTTTTTAATTTCTAAATGTAGAGAAGTTTTTATTAATATTCAAAAATGCTACTCTTATGCCTTCATCCACGTTGTAAAAATTTGTCTTTTTTTAATTTCATTGTCTAAAGTTTTCTTTCTTTTTTCAATTTTTTCAAATCTTTAAGAATGTACAACTGTTTACTATCATTTTATATAAATAATGATTAAAATTAATTTGGTTTAACTAAATAAAGTCAAGCCAAAAAAAAATATTATGGGAAAGTGAAAGTATTATCTATCTAGTTTTCATGAGTTCTTAGTCAGTTTGTTAATTAAATTATAAAAATTAATATCAAATGAAAAGTTACAAATTTTGTTTAAAAAGGAGTTTTTAATAAAATTGAAAAGAAAGAACTTTGTTGGAAAAGAGAAGGATATATAGCTTGAAAAAATCAATCAGTAGCGTTTAAAAAATTAAAAAAGAGGCATTTTGTTTACCACAAAATAGCTCTTAGTGGCATTGGTTAGCTTTCTTTTTGTTTTAACCTACACTAAGAGGCTAAAAATGCTTTAGAAAAGGTTAAAAGGGAAGGCAATGAGCCAATGACATTTTTGATAAGGTTTAGTGGCAACATAGAAACCAAAAAATAAAAAATAAAATCAGTAACATTTTTTATAAGATGCATTCGTTCAGTGGCATTTTTTAAATTGCACTTAGTAAGTGTACTGTGTGTTGCATTCTCATTTAAGTTTTGAGCCAAGAGGGACTCCAAGAATTTGACACCAAATGCATTTCAACAATAATACAAATAAAAAGATATCTAATGTCTATGCATACATTACACAGACATTATTAGATGTCTGTATCCCTCTCTATTAGCTTTGGTGTGTATTTGGTGTTAAATACTTGGTGGTCTCTAAGTATTTTTGTTAAGTTTTACTTGAAAGCTTAACGGTCAACGTCTGATGGAGTAGTTATTAAAGCTTAACGGTCAACGTCTTTAAATTGAGAGCAGTTAATTAATGTGACATTGTACGACAATATCATAGGATGACCCGTAGGTACTACAATGTCCTACTCGCAAAAGTGGTGATTCATACCACTCCCACCCCCCACCCGAACCCACCCCCATCCCCTTCANGGTGTGTATTTGGTGTTAAATACTTGGTGGTCTCTAAGTATTTTTGTTAAGTTTTACTTGAAAGCTTAACGGTCAACGTCTGATGGAGTAGTTATTAAAGCTTAACGGTCAACGTCTTTAAATTGAGAGCAGTTAATTAATGTGACATTGTACGACAATATCATAGGATGACCCGTAGGTACTACAATGTCCTACTCGCAAAAGTGGTGATTCATACCACTCCCACCCCCCACCCGAACCCACCCCCATCCCCTTCAATTGGGTGATTTGTGTCCTCCAAGATTATAACATTAATTAAATTGAAGGAATGCCATGTGTGGTAGCTTATGCCTTTCATGCTTGATTCTTCCAACTTCTTCAATGTCAAGGATCGGATTACAGCCCTTTTGTAATAAATGAATATGGGTGTGTTAATTAATAACTAATTAATGCATGGATACGATGCAGTTAACGTGGTTCAAATGCGGAGGAGTGTCGGTAGGAGTGAGCTGGGCTCATGTCCTCGGAGACCCATTCTCTGTTTCTCAGTTTTTCACAAAGATGGGACAACTGGTGGCAGGCGGCGCCGCCCACCTCCCGCCGCCTCCGCCGCTTCCAGTTCGTATTCCGGCGGCGACCGCCGACAACAACAACCCTTCTTCATTAGGCCGCCGGGTCCCCCCAGTTGGGGAACTCTGGGATCTCGCCCCCACCTCCAATATGGTACGTACTCTCAACATTCACTACTATACCTACTCATTTCATTGGTTTCTTAATTACTTTTTGAATGTGTAAAAATTTAAATGACTATGGACACACATAATGTTTACATTTATTTGACTAGACATGGTACCGATTCTGATTTTTTTTTGTATTTTTAAGAAATTTAAGAATTAAAGATGTAATATGAATAATTATACATTTTAGGGATTGAAAAATAATGTTAGGCATAATTAAAAATTCAAGACTACGATGTTGATCGAGTATGAAATAATATAATATCTCATCTAATTAGAAATGTTAATTACATACGCTTACGAACTATTTTCAAAATAAAATTTTTCGTAACGACAACTTTGACAAAAAAGTATGAAAATTTTGTTCCATATAATACTAAGAGTAGTATGTTATATTCTTTTTATGAAAGAATAAATTACCCTAATATTGTATTTTACACGAATAAAAAAAAGTCGGGCATATTTTACATGGAGTAAAAACATTCTAACAAGATTAATTTTGAAATATGATCTTTTCATAATCTATGTTTATACCAGTATATAGATAGAGATATTAATAATTAGATAATTGTACTAAAAATAAACTGTGAAAAGGTTAAGATGCGTGGAATGAACGATAGGTAAGCGAATCAATATTAAGCAAATTACAATATAAATAAGCATTAAGAGTCCGTTTGGTACATGGAATTGATGAAATTGGAATTGAATTGTAAATAAAATTCCATGTGATCCAATTTCATAGAATGAATTCACCAATTTCAATTCAATTTTTGCACTACCAATTCCAAATACACAAAATTTTTGTGATACCAAATACGAGAATTGGAATTGAAGTCCTCAATTTCAATTCCATAGTTTGAATTCCGTGTACCAAACGGGGCCTAAAAAATACCTAAAATTGAGAATCGGAAAAAACAACCAAACAAGTGTATCAAAAGAACTTTTGTTATTACTCGATCTATTCTTAATTTGAAAATTCTTCTCTTAATTTCACAGGTGACCCACACTTACCATTTCAGCACCAAGCAAATAGGCCAGCTGCTGCTTATTTCCAAGTCTTTTTTCATTGCGATCGCCGCCGTGATTTGGAAATCTCTGGCTAAAGTCCGCCGCAGCCCGGCGGGGCTTAAGTCCGTCACCGTCATCAAAGCCTCCCATCGCGAAGGGAAAGACGATCTGCGGCCGGCGGCAGGCAACTGGCAGGCGGCGATCAGCGTGGTCAAAGTGACGATGGATGTCGCTGATGCTGACGTGGCGGAGTTGGCGGAGAAGATATCGGAGAATGCCAAGGAAGAAAATGGAATTATCGAAGAGTTCGCGGGGTTGGGAGAAAATAACGTGCCTTCGTCCGATTTCTACGTGTACGGGGCGAACCTGACATTTGTGGACTTGGAAGGGGCGAAGATATATGAGTTCGAACTGAAGGGGCAAAAACCAATTTATGCAAATTATACCATTGGCGGGGTGGGCGAGGAGGGGGCAGTTCTGGTGCTGCCCGAGGATTCGGAAGGCGGGAGGATTGTGAATGTGACTCTACCCGAACACCTTGGGCAGGAGCTGGCGAATGATCTTAAGGGCATTCTCGGAAATTAATTTTATATTGCACCCAAATGGGCACCCAAAGCTTTGTTTGATTGTTTTTTTTATTTTAAATACGAAATACAAGTGAGCTAAAGCTTTTTATTTCTTCCAAAACAGATCCGCAAATAATAAGAAATTGTAATAGATTGTTTACAGTAAATTTACATTGTGTTGGACTTGTTATTCAAGATAGTGATTGCAATTCAAGCAAGTTATGCATTGCCCTTTTATATACTCCGTAATTACTTTGTAATAATTAAAATCTTTCTAAATTTGACTTCAAAAAGTCAATAAAACAAATATTTCTCCGTCGTCCTGATCGAGTATTGTTTTTTGGGTCATCAAACTATTATGTTAACATTTTTTTTAGTACTTCTTAAAATTTAGTGCACAATTGTCTTTGTCTTTTATTTAAACTTTAATGCCCTCTCCCAATTACTCACCCCATTGTCATTGTCCAATTCGTCCGAGAAAGATGCAAAGAATACAATGCTGTCGATGACACCAACAACAAAGAAAGAGATTTGATCGGTGTTGCGAGGAACTATATCTTACTAGTTCCTCAAAGAGATATGACCAAAATGTGTAGATGAGAAAGGTGATGATGTCAGAAACGAAGAAAGCTGCACTGGCCATGAAGAAGGCGACCAAGAAAGAAATCCAGCAGGTCTTATAGAAAAATCTCACCAATGAGGGTTACTACCAGTCGATGGTTAAGCAGGTAATACTTCATAAACATGAAATGTGGACATGGTTCCTAAATGATAGTTCCCTTTTAATATGTATACTTAAATAAGAGTTTTAATATCAACGATACTAACATATCAATTTTGATAAAGGGTGTTGCATTATATCAAACGAATACTGTCACCAAAATTTGATGACAAATTGGCAGTAACAACTACTCCGTAATTTGCAGACCATTTTTGTGATGTTTTAATTTTTTCAATACTTTATTTTCTAGCAATCAATATAAAAAATATTTGCTCCACAACCATCATTTTATTTTTGAAAAATAATTTGGAGGTTATGATTGATCAACTTCAATTGCAACGAGCTCAAGGTCTTGTTTACAAAGAGTGTTTTCAATTAAAATTAGCCTTTTAAATAAATTATACTTCAAAAAGTTAAAACCAAATATAATTCATGTATTGTCTTTTTAAAACACTAAGAGCGTCTTTTTAAAACACTAAGAGCACGTTTTTTCCAACGTATTCTTGTTGAAATTATTTCAGTTCAGATCAAATTAGGAATAACTTTAAACATGACTACATTCAAATCAAATCAAATTAAATAATTTCAAAGCAGATCAGAACTTATTTCTATCAGATTAAAATCATTCAGATCATGTGAAGAAAACAAGTCATAACTCCAATCTTTAACACTTTTGTCACACATGCCTCAAATTTGAAAGACATCACAATGTTTTACTATATTAATTCTATAAGAAAATTTCATTAAAAAAAACTGTTTTTATTCAAAAGTATAAAAAATGTTCACTTTTTTTTATTATAAAAAACCTTTAGTACTTTACTCAATCCTCTCACTATATTTTTTTTATTTTTAAATTTGTAGTTGGGGTATGGACGGATGGAGGGGAGCTTGAACAAGTCACCCCACCCTTTTTGTATAACGTGGACCGTGGACAAGTCACCCCCTTAACGTGGACCGTAGAATCCTTTTCACGCCAAAAAAAACCCCCCACGCCTGTCCCGGATTTTTCTGGTCAAAGTTAACCAATCCAAACCAAACTCCTCTTACCAGTTACCACCACCGCCGGAAAGGAAAATCCCGCCCCCGCCGCCCCCGCCTACATTAATTATCTGTTTGCTCCGCCGCCAGTCTCGGCCGTGATTCTCCACCTGCTGTTGCGCCTATATTTCAGGTACAATTACCCCGGCTACCTACTGAGGGAATTGCGTGGATAGAGGGGGGAAAAGGAGGATGGAGTCGAGTCTGGAATTGTTGAGATCGATCGAGGCCGCATTGGGAGTGACGATAGGGAATGATTTGGTGGTGGCGGTGGTGGTACTGACGACGTCGTTTGCCGTCATCGCTGGATCGCTGGTTTTGTTGTGGAAGAGATCGAGTGACCGGAGTAATGAGGTAAAGCCAGTGGTGGTGCCGAAGGCTGTGGCGCTTGAGGCGGAGGAGGACACCGTTACTGATCCCGGAAAGGTTAAGGTCTCCATTTTCTTCGGTACTCAGACCGGTACGGCCGAGGGGTTTGCTAAGGTAGTGCTGTTTCATTCTCTGAGAACTGTCCTCTTTGATTCCTATATCTTTTCTTTTTTTCTGCATGGATGCTGACGAATTGAGGTTTGAGCTCACTGTGTATGGCTGTGCCTGGAAGATCTTATTTCCAGTTCATTTGCGCTCATGCCATGAGCGATGATTGAATGATAAGGATTTGCCGATTTGGGGTGCCAGTTTTGATGCCTGTGTTTAACTGCCCAAGTTTTGAAAGATATAGTAATAATTAAATACCTTTGCATCCTCATTTGTTCCGTTAAAACCTCGAAGTTGCTACTGAAATAAATTCAATGAGACTTTCATAAAAAAAACAACACACTGTTTTACTTTTTTAGGAATCTATAGCAGACAATAAAAAAAACAGCAAGAACTTTTGGGTGTTAATAACGCCAAAAAGCTTTCTGCACTGTTTCTCATCTCCGGAAGGAATGCCTTTGTGCTATTTGGGGTGACTTTCGTAGTTTTCAAATGGCATATTGTTATTAAGTGGGTGCATACAATAATTGTCTTGCTTACAGGCTCTTGCTGAGGAGATCAAAGCAAGGTATCAGAAGGCAGTTGTGAAAGTTGTTGACTTGGTATGTGGAATAGAAATCACTGCATGAAACAACTATTGTTATCTAATTCTCAGATCGTGGTTGTTGTAATTTGTGTTGTAAGGACGATTATGCTGCTGACGATGACCAGTACAAGGAGAAATTGAAAAAAGAAACATTGGCTTTTTTCATGGTTGCAACGTAAGATACACCTGTACTCTGACAGCACCTTATGTTATCGACATTTTTTCCCAGTAAGCCGAGCAGCTGATATATGATTGAGTCTTACCTATTGTGATTGTATGATAGTTATGGTGATGGGGAGCCAACCGATAATGCTGCAAGATTTTACAAATGGTTTACTGAGGTAGGTTGAAATGTTGGTTCGAATATGGTTCCTCTAGTTAAATATATGTGCAATTTTTTTTAGTACACACAATCAATTTTAATAACTTTTATTTATAAGGGAGGAGAAACAGTCCCTTCACTTCAAGAGCTTAACTATGGTGTATTTGGTTTGGGGAACCGTCAGTATGAGCATTTTAACAAGGTATGAGTGACATTGTTCTTATATATCTCTGGCCCTTTCATCAAGTGAGTTTCTGATGCTTACCTGCTTGGAGCAGATTGGAAAAGTTTTGGATGAAAAACTTAGTGAACAAGGTATGTAGACGTTTTCCATATTGCATTTGATATTTATGCTGGTGGTATGGATTTTCTAGTTTTGTACAATTTCCACAGTCTCTTCCATGAATGTCATCTCTGTCTCAACCATAACTACGTAGTAGGTAAAATGCATCCTCTTCCATGAATGCCATCTCTGCCTCAGTCAGACATGCGGTGTGAAAGAGGCAGAGAAAATCAGCAAAATAGAGGGGCTCAATCAATACATATTTCAGGTCTTAGACTTTTAGATTTATTAGGGAGTATTATGGAAATCAGAGAGTTAAAGAGCACTCATTTATTTCTTATACCAATTTGTTATCAGCCTCAATTACATATTGTGCTAGGTTATACTTGTTAATAAGGATTTCCTTTAGCATAAGAGGTACTGAAAGATTAATAGAATTTGGGACTTGTTAGGTTTAGGCAGCTTAAGCTGTTGGGTTCTGAAAGAACTTTTTTTAGCATAGGGTTCTGAAAGGGCAGTCTTTGTGGTAGGTACCTCAGGTATTTCCTGTTTTCTTTCTTCTTTCACATATAATTTTCTTCCCTATATTTCAATCTTATCAACTAGTCCAACATCCGCTTTCACTACTACCCTTTCAGAACCTGCCGCGATTGTCTTTTTTAGGGAGAAGAGGCAGACAAAATCTCCCAAGAAAATCAGTTAAAAGATCATTTTCAAACAAAAAAGATATGGTTGAGCTCTATTAGAACATGCTCATCAATCGTCATTTATGGCAACCTGTAGATGATTGTGTATTATACCAACCCTTTTAAGTGAAAGTACAGTGCGATACCTTCAATAATTGAAAGATGTTTTGCCAACCTTTCATGTTTTGATATGGGTTGATTCTATTTTGTATGCAACGATAGCCAAACATGCATTTTAAAACATTTATAGCGGATGTTGTACTTTAGATAAAGAATTTGCTGACGTCGAAGTAATAAATATTGCTTCCAAGGATTCATGCCTCAACCACTGACACCAACATTGGTGCATCCACTCCAACACCAACACCCTCACCATTGACAACTCCACCTGTGATATCAGCAGCTCAACCACTGACCATTCTATTTCTTAATTAAAAACATTTTTCCTTTCATTGCTTTTTTAGTGTTGAGGAGCTGGTTGCTGGGTGGTAGTGATGTGTTCATTCTTCGGATCAGGCCCGCCCGATCATTTTAGATAAAATTTTAAGGCCCTGTGCAATTTTTTAACTCTTAATTCTTTACTGCTCTAATATAAAACTTGTACAAGAAGAATTTTTCTTTATCAAGTACGTAGTATTTATTAAATACGGAGTACATAATATAATTAACATTTAAATTAGTAAAACTTTATAAAATTACAATATCGTTAAAATTATTAATGAAAATCAGAATTGACGACCACCTATAACATGTATGGACTTGAGGTGAGTATAGTGAGGCCTCAATTCTTTGTCTAATTGAATGATAACTAGAATGAGTTATGTTGCTTCATTTTTTATGCATCACAGTTTACACATTTTTTAGTAGAAAAGAATTTGTATCTCAAAATTTTTAGCTTTTTTTATAAAAAATCACCACAATGACAACATACATTGTTTACTTTTCAACACTTTATAAGATATTTTTTTTGAATTTTTTATAACCAAAACATAAATTTTGTTGTAGAATAACAAAAGAATAATCTATAAAATGGGCCATATTGAAATTTGAGCCTTGTGCAGATGCACCTGATGAACACCCCTATGGGCGCCCCTGCTTAGGATGCAGTGTTTCATTTCAAAGCTCACTTCCTTTGTTTTTTTATTTGCACAATTATTGCCTATTTGCCTTGTAAAGGTTTCAAATACTTATCGTGGCCTATTCTCTTGAATGTAATACTCCGTAGCTTTTATCTATTACTCGGGATATATATCTTTGATAATAAAATTAAAGTAAAAGATGTATTTTCATGTACCTGTTTGGCTAACTTTTTAGGGGCAAAACGGTTAGTTCCACTTGGCATTGGGGATGATGATCAGTCCATCGAAGACGATTTTACTGCTTGGTGAGCATTGTCACTACGTTTGTTCTTTGGATCTATGTTTTGTGCTTTTGCATGTTTTACACTTCCTCTACCCCCAAAAAATTGCAACATTAGAATATCCACGCTTGCCAATGCACAAACTAAATCGTTAATATCTTCAATTCTTTTTTAGTGAAAATGATAAAATTGATATTATGAAAGTTTTATTGAGACGAATCTAAGAATATCCTACATGAATATATTGTTACTTGCATATACAATTACCAAAGATGGTCAAATGTGGGTGTGTGAAGAGAGTAAAATTTTGACAGTTGCAATTATTTTGGAACAACGTACTATTTAATATTTTATGTATTACGTTTAATTTTTTTCCTGTTTAAGTTGTTAAAGTGTTCGTTTTCTTGCTTTAAATAAACTAATCAAAGCATCAGAACTCAGAAGTGTTTTCCCCCTTGCATTGTATTTATAATGTTTTATGTTAAGGCGAGAGCAACTGTGGCCCAAGTTGGATATAATACTTAAGGACGAGGATGATGCAAACTCTGCTTCTCCACAATACACAGCTGCAATTCCTGAATATCGTTTGGTGATACATGACCATGGCATTACAACTTACGAGGATAGGCATGCATCTTTGGCTAATGGAAATACTGTATATGATATCCACCATCCATGCAGGTAGGCTCTTTAATGATGCATGCCAGCTTTATTCTGCATTTCTTGGTGTTCTTATGGAAAAGCATCATTTGAACTTTTCATTCAGGGTTAATGTTGCTGTTCAAAGAGAGCTTCATACACCCGAGTCCGATCGTTCATGCATACACTTGGAGTTTGACATATCAGGCACGGGCATAACGTAAGTTCATGACTTTGTTTTGCAAGCTAATGCTTTAGTATAACTGGACAAATTAATCCCATTGACTCTGTCTGACTGAAATCTTATTCACAAGAAAATACGGAGTAGTATCAAGGATCATTGTAGATCCTTGCTAAGGACCTAGTAGTGCCTGCACAAGGTAATTCCAATCTTGCCAAGGACCTAATAGTTCAGTAGCATTGACGTGGTTTCAGGATTGCTCCTCCTATTCTCAGATGTATAAAAAACAGAGTGAATTCAAACTTTGATGTGTGTGCAGCCACGTGGCCCACCCCATGCATTCACTGCAGATCTCAATCTATGCATGGGTCTGGGAAATGATTTGTGTGATGTACTTAATGTCAACACTGGATTTTTTCCCATTTAGCATAGTACATCTCTATTTTGCAGTGTTATAAAACCAGCATGTGTGGGCCACTAAGGCACTAAGCTCCCATGGCCCTTATTGTTGAGAACAAAAGCTTCACCTTGGCTCTTCTAAGGAACTGTGCCTAATAGCTTCCCTAGATGGTGCCTAGGCAGTAGGCACCCACTAGGTACTTCTTGACACCCACAATCAGTAGTTTATAGCTGAACACCACACTTTGGCCTTTTAATAGAAATATTCGACATAAGTTACAATAATCTATGTTGAACTTTTAGAGGTAAGAGTAGAACGCGTAGCTGTTCTCCTTGCCCCCGATGAGTGCCTAGCGATTTTTGCAACATTCATATTTGTCTTTTAATGTTGCACAAAGTTCATGCCTTGAAGTGGAATAAGCAATTGGCATTACAATGTTGCTCTATCATCTTGCACTCTTATCATTATTGGTGCTCTGAATTTTAACCTTTAGCAGATTTTTATGCTAGCTGTGCTTTAAAGATTTACCTATAGCTTCCTTAGAGCTGTCTGCTATGAACCTCTTCCATTTTTAGAATCAATTAGATACTTTTGTTTGCAATTTTTAAATGTTTATTCATAATTTTTTTTCAGAGTAAGCTCTTATGATTTATTAGGTAATTTCAAAATTTTGTGCTTGTTAAACATTGCATTATTTTGGGCATTTTATGAATTATATTTGCAATATGTAATTATGTTCATAGACACGTATAAATGTTTCTGCTTTCAGATATGAAACCGGGGACCATGTGGGTGTCTATGCTGAAAACTGTGATGAAACTGTTGAGAAAGCAGGAAAGTTGTTGGGTCAACCTTTGGATTTACTTTTTTCTATTCATACGGACAAAGAGGATGGGACATCCTTGGGTGGTTCGTTGCAACCACCTTTTCCTGGACCTTGCACCCTTCGTACTGCTCTAGCTCGTTTTGCAGATCTGTTGAATCCTCCTCGAAAGGTGTCCTTTTCTTTTTAATGAATATGATAGTATTTCAATATTTTGAATGTCTTTCACTTGAAAGCATTGCAAGACGTGGGAGCTTTAAGAAGAAACTGCTGTTTCTAGACTTATCATATCTTATTTCCAGGCCACTCTGGTTGCGTTAGCTGCTCATGCAACTGAAGCTGGGGAAGCAGAAAGGCTCAAGCTTTTGTCGTCTCCACAGGGAAAGGTAGAGCGGCTCCATCGTTTTATTTTGGATTCCTTCCTTGCTGGTCATGCCTTCAAGAAAAAAACATATGTTTCTGATTATGTACATGTGATTATGTAAATTTTAACCTTATTGTCAGTGGACTTGTTTATATCTCTGGTTTAGGATGAGTACTCACGATGGGTTGTTGCAAGCCAAAGAAGTCTCCTTGAGGTAATGGCTGAGTTTCCATCTGCTAGACCTCCCCTTGGTGTATTCTTTGCAGCAATTGCTCCTCGCTTACAACCACGTTACTACTCTATCTCATCATCACCCAAGTGAGTATTTTATTTTTAACACGTGTGTAGAAACATTTTTATAAGAGGGTAATTAAAAACACACGCGAGTCTCTTTTTTTATAAAAATATTTTGAAGGGCAAAGCTAATCATTTTGTCTTCATATCTATGTAGATTTGCTCCAGATAGAGTCCATGTGACTTGTGCTCTAGTGTGTGGTCAGACCCCCACAGGCAGACTTCATAAGGGAGTGTGTTCCACCTGGATGAAGGTACTAAAGAAAGCTCAAGGTTGAAGTATAGCAAGCAAAACTTTTTTGCAACTTCCTACATACGTTTCGTGGGGGTGGGGGTGGGGGGTCTATTGATTGCAGACAAAAAAACCCGTGTAGTCCCACAATTATGGGTATCTTTGGTAATTTAGCATTTAATGGTTTAAGGAAGTTGATATTGGCTTATTTCATCCAAAAAAAATTGTGACCAGTAAAATAAGATTTACACTGCGTTTGTTTGGAGGTAGGGAGAGGTAGAGGGAGATAGATTTAATATTTTACCTTGTTTGGGAATAAAAATTGAGATAGGTAGGGGAAGGTAGGGGAAGGTAGAGGGAGGTAGAGTTACCTCTGAACAGTGCATTTCACATCGTCTTCTTCTTCCGGTTCCGATCGCACAGGTATTCTATCGCCGTTCAATTTTCACTTTTTTTATCCGAATTCCTATCGCCATCTTCACAGATTATTTTTAGGTGCTTATTTTTGTTCTGCGATGGACTTCAATTTCTATCGCCATCTACTGCTCCTTCTTTGCTTTTTTTGCACTTCAATTTTCATTTTTTTTTCAATTTCCAGATTTTTTTTCACTTTTTTCGTTCTGCTCTACTGCAATTTTACACTTTTTTCAATTTTCAATTTCCAGTTTTTAATTTCCTCTGTTTTTTTTTGTTTCCTTTTTTTCAGTTTCCGTTTCTTTTTTTCTTTTTTTTCAGTTTTCAGTTTTTCTTTTTTTTCACTTTTTTTGGTTTCTATTTATTTAGCTCTTGGGTTAATTAATTGCTGTAGATTGATTTATCTAGTTAACTATGCAAGAAGCAGTTTATCCTTTTTCACATTGTGATATGGAAGACAATATTGCAATAGATGACTCTTTTTAATTTTCAATTTGTATTTTTTATGCTTCGTGAACCACTTTTGATGCCAAAAGACTCAAATGGATTTTTTAAGAAGTTTTGCCTTTGACATCCTAAATAAAAAAAGAAAAACAACCACAAGGATATTTTGGTAATTTTATTTTTTCTCTACCTCAAGTTACCTAATAAACATCCAAACACAATTTTTTAACTCATTACCTTACATTACCTACCTTCAATTACCTACCTTCAATTACCTACCATTACCTACCTAATAAAACTTTTACCTATCTCCAACCAAACATAGCCTAAGTTTTGTGTTCAAATGAATTAGAATGCAATTCCATCAGAGAGAAGTTATGACTGTAGCTCAGCTCCAATTTTCATTCGTCCTTCGAGCTTCAAATTACCAACTGATCCATCAATTCCAATTATTATGGTGGGACCTGGCACTGGATTGGCTCCATTTAGGGGATTTTTACAGGTATGGAGATTACTTTTCCTCTTTGTTCTTGTGTGAGTGCTTCTTGTTCGTGTCCTAAAAGTATGGAGATGATTTGCCTTTTTTTGACTACTTCATTTTCCAGGAAAGAGCAGCTCTGAAGGAGAATGGTGCTCGACTTGGTCCTGCATTGTTGTTTTTCGGTTGTAGGAACCGAAGAATGGTAAAGTGTTAGTTCTTATGCATAATTGCATACCAATGCACGTGTCAATGATATACATCATTCTAACTTGGCTTTACACTATAGGATTTTATTTATGAGGAGGAGCTCAATAAATTTTTGGATCAAGGCACAATTTCAGAGCTAATTGTTGCATTTTCAAGGGAAGGGCCTCAGAAGGAGTATGTTCAACACAAGATCAAAGAAAAAGTAAGTCTGTTGATACTAAGAACCTGTTTAATTAGGGCCTAAATTGGATGAAGTTGGTGAATCGGTTGAAAGTACTAAATTCATAGTGGAATTGGCGGAATATGTTGACTTTTATTACAAAATAGCATTTAAAATATACTCCATGATATCTAAAAATGAATGTAGAATAATTCCCTTCACTTCCAACCATTCCAGCCAAAATTCACTCTATTTTATTTTGAATGTGCTGAGTCTGCCAGCACAGTGAAAACTGTGAAATTAGCTATTGTTTGGTGAAAATTTTGGTTGGTAAGTAAAAAAAAGTTCACAAACAAGCTCTAATTACGACATCATGTACTTTTGCTTGTTTTGTAAAGAGTGGTGTCTGTTTTGTTTTTCAATTAAACTGCAGGCCTCAACCGTATGGAATTTAATTTCAAAGGAAGGGTATCTATATGTATGTGGGGATGCCAAAGGGATGGCTAGAGATGTACATCGTACACTCCATGACATTGTACAAGAGCAGGTACGTTGCTGACCTACTGATTTGGCATGGATTTCTATCCATTTATTTCTGAAAGAGGCTGTCCACTTCCTAAAAAATATCTCATTTTAAGAAATGAATTTAAGATACTGAATAAGCCTTCAAATGAATTTGTCATTCATTTATGCCAGCGATGCTCATACCCTATCTGTATATCTTAGACAGTTCATATTATTGTTTTTAATAAAAAATGGAAGTGGACAAGAATTGGATTTTATCGTTATGATGTAGACTTTGCAATCTAGCAGCACATGAAACGTCGGAAAGTCCAAGTTCATAACTCATAAGTTAGCTACAACTGAGAAGCGTGTCGATGTGAATATTATTGTACAATAAAAGTACCAAAAGAAACTAGCTTTGGAATACAAAACAATAATGTTTAAAAAAGGTTCAAAATGAAATTACAGCAACATCAACCAAATAAACAATAAAAAAAGCTCCAACCGAACACAGTTAATTTAAAAAGCTCACTTGAATTCAGGAAAAGGTGGAAATGTCGAAAGCTGAAGCCATCGTGAAGAAACTACAGATGGATGGAAGGTATCTGAGGGATGTGTGGTGATCATCGTCGTATGATATCATCTCCATAGTTTGTATTTGCACACCAATCTGTTGTTGTATTCTTTTCTTTTTTTCCCTTTATTTATAGCAATGGTTGATCCTCTTAGTTGCTTTGTTTTCCAATTACCCAATATTGAACAGAAGAAGCACACATGTTTTTGTCTTTCTTCCCAAATGCCTTTTAGGTTTTCTTGCCTGCTAGAAGAATATGCATATATGATGGTGCATTTATATGTAATCTGTTACTGTCTTTTTCAAAAATTCATAAATCATCACATGATATTTGTTCTATGCAGATTATGTCTGTGTGTGTCTTAAGTGTAAAAAAGACAGTAATTTCATATTTGCACAAAAAGATAAAAGAGTAAGAATGTGGCATCTTTCTTTTTAGCACATAAAGATTTTTAAAGATGTTAGAGTGTATCCCACATCGGAAGTTTAAGAGTAAAATAACCGGTATATAAGCTCTTGAGTTGGACTAACTAATCGATTGGATTCAATCTTTTAACACAGTTCAACCCAAGTGTCTTATTGCCCAATCCAGTTGTCCATACTCATCCTAAATTCTATCATGGTATCGGAGCCAGTTTTAGCCCACCTCGTTTGTCAAGGTGTCCGTCTAGACGTTCATTCCTAGCGGCCCGTTAGTCTTTAGCCCAGTTGTCCGTATGGATGTTGTACCCAACGGCCTGTGGCCTGTTTAACACGATTGCTCGTCTGGAAGTCCATACCCAGCGGCTCGTGGTCCTTTAGGTGTTGGCGCTCAAAAAAAAAAAGTCAAGGGAATGAGAGTTCATTTGCAAGTGGTCAACCGGTTAGATTCAAAATGGCCCGGTTGTCCACTTGAGGGGGAGTGTTAGAGTGCATCCCACATCGGAAGTTTAAGAGTAAAATAACCGGTATATAAGCTCTTGAGTTGGACTAACTAATCGATTGGATTCAATCTTTTAACACAGTTCAACCCAAGTGTCTTATTGCCCAATCCAGTTGTCCATACTCATCCTACATTCTATCAAAAGATGGTAAAAAATGAAAATATGACAGGTCTTTTGGGGCGGAGAGTGTATCATTTGACAATTTTTTTGGTGCACCTAAAATGATATGAATCTAATAAACTCCGTAATTAAATAATTATGGGCTAGTTCTCTTTTTCAAATTTCTTTGTTAATTTGATTGCGTGAGAAGGCTCACATAGATCTCATGGGCTAAAAGTTCACCATAAGTTTCTGCCACAAAGAGCACAAGACTCTTACACAATCATCAAGAATAGAGCACATAGAAAAATGTTAACAAATGACTAAAAATAAAAAAAACAATTTATAAGCAATTTTGATCAATTTGTAAAATTCAGAAAATATCCATTTAATATTTATAATCCTTTTCGGAGAAATAAAATTAAATTATTTGGGTAGTTGTTTGAGTTTTGGTGGTAGTTTTT